CCTTCCTTACCAGGCCAATTTTCAGCTTTCAGCGCTGCCGCACTTTGATTGACAATTGCGCGGTCATGCAACATTGTACCCATATGAAATTTTGATCATTTTTTTCTCACAAATAGAGCTTTCTTTTGGTGGTATTTAATCGCCACTGGGCGCTTTACTTTTTGCGCTATAAATTAAAAAAAGTGCAAAAAATTTGAAAAAAAAAAAAAAAAGTTTGTTTCTTTTATAAAATTTTTCAAACAGGTATTTTTTTCTCCTTCACGGATTTGCGTTGATGAGGCGGCACTGATGGGCGGCACTGATAGGCAGCACTAAAGGGCACTGATAGGCAGTACTAATGAGGTGGCACGGATAGGCGGCACTGATAGACAGCACTAATTAGGGGTCACGGATAGGCGGCACTGATATGCAGCACTGATAGGCGGCACTGATAGGTGACACTGATGATGGGTACTGATAGACGGCACTGACTGGCATCACTTCTGGGCACTGACTGGCGGCACTGACTGGCACAACCCCTGGGCACTGACTGGCAGCACTGCTGGGCTGCACTGGTGGGTGGCACTGGTGGGTGGGCACGGGTGGGTGGCACTGCTGGGCACATGTAGGTGGCACTTCTGGGCACAGGTAGGTGGCACTGCAGAGTGGCACAGGTGGGGGGTGGCACTGCTGGGGGCACTGCTGGGCACAGGTGGGGGCACTGCTGGGAACGGGTGGGCGGGGCTAGTGGGCGCACTGCTGGGCGGAACTTGCGGGTGTCACTGCTGGGCACCGATCATCAGGGCACTGATCATCAGTGCCCTGATGATCGGTGCCGATCCCTGCTCTGACAACTGCCGGTTCTCGGCAGTACTTTCCTCACGATCTGACAGCGTGAGGAAAGTGCAGCCGAGAACCGGCACTTGCATTTCCCTGTGATCAGCGTGTCATTGGACACCGCTGATCACGTGGTAAAAGGCCGGTGGGATCGGCCTTTCACCACATCACGTGATCAGCTGTGTCCTTAGGACACAGCGATCACGGAGATCGCCGGGTGCGCGCCCCCTGGGGAGCGCAGGAGAGCGCGTTCTGGGAGGACGTCATATGACGTCCACTCAGAACTGGCCGGCCGCGGTGAAGCCGTCATTTCGGCTATGCGCGGTCGGCAAGAAGTTAATAAGTGTTCAGTTTTAAAGGGATGAGGTGGCAACTTTACTGATATCTCTACTGGGAGTCTGATGTTGCACCCATGATCTGCTGCTGGGTGCAATGTTCTCTGAATACAATGGTTTCTCTGACTGGCGATATGGGGCAGATAAAGTCCCGATTTCCACCTTAACCAATCAAAAGATGTCTTGTGTTCACTGATGAAAACATAAGGCTTCTTTTGAAGGTCAGAGTAGCACCTGACTCTCCCAAGTTCTGCAGCAGGAGGAAAATTACCCATACTGCTTCCAGAGCATAGCGCAGCGCACTGTATGTAGCTAATGTTACTACAGTATATTACTAATAGCAACTGGCCTTTGCAGCAAGGAGCACATGGAAGGGCGATGTATGACAAACAAAAGATTCCCAGCTCAACTTACCTATCAGCCTGCAACCAACCGAATTGTCCGGTCTTAGTTCACGTTAAAAACGGGTTTAGTTTGCACACATTTGCAAATACATGGGTAAGCTGCAGAGCCTCTTCATGGCATCCCAGTATTTTCTGCGGTCCTAACTCTATAATTGAGAGCCTCCATAGAAGAAGAACATTTGTAATAATGGATAGACTGAGGGCAGGTAAGCCTGGAGGGAGCCCACCAGTAATAGATTGGGATTGGGGTAAATGCCATATACTGGTGAGGGGCGAACTGGACACCTTAGCTGCCATTGTGCTATATGCTGGGTATCCAGTGTGCCTCTAAGGAGGGGTGGGCTCCCTCCATGCTCACCTGCCCTCAGTCTATCCATTATTATACATGTGCTCAAAATTGATAGTTAGGACTGCAGATAATACTGGGGTGCCGTGAAGAGGATCTCTGCAGCTTACCCATGTATTTACAAATGTGTGCAAGCTAAACCCCTGTTTTTAATAAAAACTGTTAGGACAATTCGGTTGGTTGCAGGCTGATTAGTAAGTTGCATACAAAGAAAAAACTGGTAACCTACCCAGGTCTATAACCGGCTTTTTAAACAGTGAACATGGAAGGCATTGCATATAAAATAAAAATAGGACTATCCTGTTCAACTTGCCAGCCTACCCCAGTCTAATAATGGCTATTGTTGGCAAGGAACAAGGATAGGTATAACGTATCAAAGAGGGGGATAAGACAGCCAGTTCAAACTGCCAGCCAGTTAGCTATCAAATCCAAATTAACCTGTCTAAGAACATGTGTTTAAAAACGGGTTTGGTTAGCACACATTTGCAAATACATACGTGAGCCACATCACAGCACCCTGAATATCTGTGGTCCTAACGCTATAAATCTTGAGAGTCCTCATAATAGAGGCACATGCATTTAAGTGGATGAAACAAGGGCAGGTGAAGCTGAGGGAGCCCACCCCTCATTAAGGTTCTTGGAGCGCACCTGACACCCAACATGTAGCACAACGGCAGCCAGGGTGTCCAATGCACCCACTGAACCTCCAAAATTAACATACAAAGAAAAAACTGGCCACCTACCCAGGTCTATAACTGGCTTTTTAAACAGTGAACATGGAAAGCATCGCATATAAAATAAAAATAGGACTTATAGATTTATAGAGTTAGGACCACAGATATTCAGGGTGCCGTGATGTGGCTCTGTGGCTTACGTATGTATTTGTAAATGTGTGCTAACTAATCCCCTGTTTTTAAACGCATGTTCTTAGACAGGTTAACCTCCCTGGCGGTATTCCCGAGTGTAGCTCGGGGTAAAATGTCAGTACCAAAAGCGGTAACCCCGAGCTACACTCGGGCTTACCATGCGGCGCTGCATAGGGAGTCCCTGCAGCACTTACCTTGTCCTTCGCTCCCGCGATGTGTCCCCTGCAGCGTCCCCGGCCATCTCCTCCGGCTGATGCCGGCATCCGGCTCCTGTGTTCCAGACCCTGTGACGTCGGGACGTACGGGCGCCGCCGGCGGCGGGAAATTTGAAAATTTAAAAAAAAATTTCATTTTTTTTCAAAACGATTTTACATAGTAAAACATTGCTGTTTCAACCCATTTCACATGCATTTTGTCCCGAGTGCTTTGTCCTGTCCCCTGTCTGCATTTTGACTGTTTTCTGCCTGGAAACTTAGAAAAGTCCATGGCGTCCAAATAGCGTCCCTTTAGGTCAAAAGCGGTTTTAGACCGGCTAGAGAACAGCGATAGTAAATTAGAACCACTTGCAGAATTGAGTGATAATGATTCGTGGAGAAATTCGTCATCAGACACTGAAAACAATTTTGCGACTTTGCTCAGCAATGTGCGAACTTGGCGCTATATTTCAAATTTCAGTGTTTTTGGTTTGATTATATTATTGAATTAAATGTATTATTATTATATTATTATTTTTTATGATTATTTATTAAATTATAATTTATGATTTTGGGTTTCAAATTTTATCATACCCGGGATGTTTAATAGACTCTTGTTCGGACAGATTTCAGTGAGTTATTCCTAAAAATTACAGCCTACAAAAAAAAAAAACTACATATTTCCATGCAAAATAATGGTACCGCTTTCAGCACCAAAAATCTGAAATAATCATACCGCCAGGGAGGTTAATTTGGATTTGATAGTTAGCTAACTGGCTGGCAGTTTGAACTGGCTTTCTTATCCCCCTCTTTGATAAGGTATACCTATCCTTGTTCCTTGCCGACAATAGTCATTATTACACTGGGGTAGGCTGGCAAGTTGAACAGGATAGTCCTATTTGTATTTTATTTTTGATTGGTAAGTTGAGCCGGGAATCTTTCTTTTTTCTTACTACAATACATTACAGTGGCAGCATCATTAAGTAACAGAAATAGTTTGTTTGGGACAACTTAGCCCAAACAAACTAAAGTGATATTAAAGCTGGAATTCTACTTTTAGGGTTGGTTCACACCATGCCGCACAGGGAACGCGCTCTGCGGTTCTGGGCCGTGCGATTTTAGCCCATTTATTTTGAATGGTGTAAAATCGCACTGCATAGAAATTAGTGCATGCACTACTTTTAGAAACGCACTGCAACTGGATTGCATGGTACTTTTGAACCATGCAATCTGGTGTGGGCAAACTGCGTTTGGGGTGACACTAACTTATTATTGATACCCACTGCAGATTGCAAATGGAGTGCGTTTTCAGTGCGGTGTGAATTGCACAGGAACGCGCAGTGTGTTCCTGTACAGGCATGGTGTGAACCTATTGCTTTGCCCTGTATTCATAAAACAGGTTCATTTTAATTGAGCTTTTAAACAAGTGTAAAGTCCACGATCTCTGATGAATGGAGGTTTCTGTAAGGCACATTACCTGCACTAATGAGTCCACACAGTAGCAGATCAAAAATGAATGCAACTATTTCTGGTGGGCCTGCCACTGTGATGTGCCATCTCTCTATCATAGCGATGAGGCAGTGAGAGTTACCAGAGCTTAGAGGGGCTTGTGCTTGTAGTCCAATGAGCTCTGTTAGCTCACGTTCACACTAGTAATGCTGCATAATCATGCATTTTCACATGCTTTTTTTATGATGTTTTCATGCTTCATGTGTTTTTGTTTTTTGAGACAGTTTGTTGAGCACACTTTCTGCCAAAAAAAAACAACAAAAATGCATGTACATAACTTTCCATGCACTCCCATGTGAGTCTATGGGACCAAAAATGCAGTGGGTTGCACCAAAAGAAGCACCTTCAACTATCGCACTGCAGCATGTTGCATTAATGTAAATGGGCACCAATGTGTTTTCCAGTGTTGTGCGATGGCAGAAACCAGAGAAAACACACTAGTGTGAACAGGGCCTTAGTCTACATGGAACCTGACAATGAGATAGTGGAGTCCTAAGTACTGGCTAACCAGAGGCGATGTGGCCGGTCTCCTATTTATCTGGGAAGAAGACTTTGCTTGTGTTGTTGTAGAGGGTTTTGGCTAGCTCCTCTGGATCTTCTTCTCTGACAGCTGCCATAATCTCCAGGACTTGTCTGCAAAAAACATGAACAATTTATTTCAGGTACTTATATAGTGCCGTCAATTTAGGCAGCGCTTTACATATATATATTGTACATTCACATCAGTCCCTAACCCTCAAGGGGCGTACAATCAAAGGTCCCTAACTCACATTCATACATACACATACTAGGGCAATTTAGACAGGATCCAATTAACCTACCAGCATGTCTTTGGAGAGTGGGAGGAAACCGGAGTACACAGAGGAAACCCATGCAGGCACAGGGAGAACATGCAAACTCCAGGCAGGTGGTGCCATGGTTGGGATTCGAACCAACGACCCTAGTACTGCCAGGCGGAAGTGCTAACCATTTAACCATTGTGCTGCCCAATGGTTTTTAATCAGAGAGAACCATCAACCAAACACCATGAAAGCTAAAGATATTTGCTAGCAATAATGTATTTACAATTTCACAGTATCCTGTAGAGAAGACAGACAGCAGCACCACTAAGTGTAGATGGTTAAAATCAGGCAGATTTAATGGTAAAATTGCACACACATAGAGAGGTAACAGGTAGGCATGTCAAGTGATGGAGGTCCAGTGGGAGCATCAGGTCCTTTGGCCGAGCTCTGGGTGTTTTCCCGGCCCTCCGGTGGTGTAAAGGGCTCCGGGAGTAGCAGGGGCGCAGGGATGATGTCACTGCATGGACCGGGTTTCCAAGATTAGCCATCTTGGAAACCGCCATGGGTTGCAGGTTCTAATTTTCCAGTATAAGAATGTTCACCGGGGCTTATTCACTCAGTATAATTTTCACAGAGGGTTCTAACCCATACCAAGCACTATACATACACCCTATAGCTAAATTCACATTCCCTGGCTGGGGAATTGAGCTAGGCAGGCCAAATGTTAGAATGTATATGTGACGGGAGTGACTTTTGGGGGTGGGGGGACCCCTGTATCAGCTCCCTAGATTCCTCTTATGTGTAACCCACCCTGTGCCTGGGGGTACAGGGTGGTATTTCCTGATATTGTGTAGACATGTATAGGTGGGGTGGGGGGTTGTCCATTGTCTACTGCCACATGGTGTATCCCTTTGTTCTATTATGTGTCTTGGTTTGGTGGGGGGTGTTTCTGGCAGCCCTTCCCTCCTGATGGGATGGCCTGTGATGTGTTTCCTGTTCCTGGTTGTATTTCCCCGCTCTGTGTATATATCTTGTGTTTGAGTTAAAATAAAGCAGTATACTTCCTGTCTTAGGGCTCGTTCACACTTGGCTGTTTTACCAACGCTTGTCAAACGCCCCTATAGCTTGGCAAGCGTTGGTCCGGCGTTTGCGGAGCGGTTTTTAACGCTCGGCAAACGCCGCATGCGCAGTTTAGCGGCTGTTGCTAGGCATTTGCCGAGCATTAATAACGCCCCACAAACGCCCATAATGCAGTTTGAGTGGTGTTACTGCTCCGCAAACTCCCCGCAACCGCACCACAAACGCCGGCCGGGCATTTGCGGAGCAGCACCATAGACGAGAATAGGAGGCTTCAACGCCTCCTGACTCGACCAGAGGCGTCCGTTTTGCCGCGACACAAACGCTCCCGTTAGAACAGCACCATGTGCTGTAATGTGCAGAATTGCTTCCCAAACGCCTCTCTGCCGCCTGCACACAACGCTAGTGTGAACGTAGCCTTAAGAAGAGTCTGGTGCTGTCTTTCCTGCATGATCAGCGGTGGTGTCCGGGGATTTGTGTTCGGACAGGGAAGCGGGAGTCTAACGGAAATACCCAAGTGCGGTCTGGGTCCAGTTCCGTTACAGTATATATGTACAGCCCTTAGACCAGCCTTTCTCAACCAGGGTGCCCAGGCACCCTGGGGTGATTTCATGTTTCTTCAGAGGTGCCTTGGAAAAAGGTTTACAAATTGCCCAAAACTTGTACACAAACCAGCGGGTGGAACAAGCCTGCCTTTTAGTTACACAAAGCCACAGGTTTTCATTGTGCACCATTAGGACCTTCTAGCCGCCGGTGTCCTGACAACTAATGACATCAGTTGATAAGGAGGATGTCCGCTGCCTCACAGCATCCTAGACTAACCCTCCCCTGCCCCTCTCCATCAGTGCTGGGGTCACATTAGCTCACTGATGGAGTAAAACTGAGGGAGAAGAGAAACATTGGAATACTAGTCAGTACCAGTGTGCAAAAGTGTAATTGCTTTGGAAAAATAAGTCACCTCTAGCGTTTGGCATCTTACGTGTATGGATGTTGCTGCATTATATAAAACTATTAGAATAGTTTTTCATATTTTAGAATGGGGTGCCCTTTTTAAACTTTATGGACAGTCTTGAGGCACCCCATTTTAGAATGGGGTACCTCAAGATTCCATAATTTTAAGAGGTGCCTCGGGACTGTCCATCATTTTAAAGGGTGCTTTGACTGAAAAAAGGTTGAGAAACACTGCCTTAGACCACAGCTGTCATCAGATTTAAGGAGCAACTCCAGTTTTGTTTAAAAAAAAAAAAAAAAAAAAAAACCAACCCTTTCCCCTCTGGGTGATCTATGTACATTGCAGGGATTTTAACAAACTTTGTTGCAGATTCCTACCTTTTGTTATTCTGAAGAATTAGCTGTTTGTTTGTGTCCATCTGCAAAATTAATTTGACTGGGAGTGACTTTATAATTATTATTGAGCTGCTGCATTTGCAGAGTTCTAATAAGGAAACTGGCAGGGTCTGCATCCCTTTAGACATGATTTCCTTTTGGGAGTATCTCACAAAAAATGACAGAGGATGCCCAATATCTGACTTGTATCTTAATGTAGAAATCAGCCACAATCACACAAGAAGGAAATAACATTTCCGGGGGGTGATCTGTACACCAACTGTGTATAGAACGCCTCCAGGTCACCATATTGCAGTAAATTGTACAGAAAATTACAGCACTAAAGATTAAAAAGGAAAAGTCATTTTTTAATAATGCAGAAGAACCCGGCCTCATTCACACCAGAAAGAAGTGTGTGCTACAATGCATGTGTCATTTAACCACTTGCTGTCCAGGTGCTGTATATAAACGGTCGGACGGTGGCAGTCCAGGGGCGGGTTGCTGTTCATAAACGTTGCCCGCCATTTTGGACTGTGCGTGCTCCCTGGGAGCGAGCAGCACTGCGATCCGGTGCCCGCTGTGTCCTCTGGACACAGTGTGGAACAGCGATTGTCGTACGGGACCTCTGTGCGAGGTCCCGATCATGTGATCACTGATTGGCCAATCAGTGATCACATGCAGAGTAGTAAGCAAGATGTCACTTCTGACATCATTGCTTACTACGTGTGAAATCTGTGAATGATCACAGAGGTCACATGGTACAAGGCTATTCACAACAGCCTTGTACCATATGACCAGCTGTGACCAATCATAGCTCACACAGTAGTTCTCAATGGCTGCAAAAATGCAGTCAGAGAGAAGGAGAAATGATTGATTTTACAGCCTTTATGGGTGTAAAAGCAATCAGTGTAAAAAAAAAATAAATCTTCATCACCCCCCACAAGTAGTACAGTGTCACCATGGTGACACTGTACTGCTAGGGTGACAGTATGTAAAAAAAAAAACAAATAATATAAAAAAAAAAAAAAGTAAAAAAAAATGTTTTTGAATTATTTTTGGTTCTAAACTAATTTGGATTATTTTGTTTTTACTAAAAAGATAACTGAATACATTTTGGCCAAGATTTATGATGAAATATTATTTATTTGCAAACTTTAAGAAAAACACTTTTTTCAAAATATTTGGACTTTTTCAATTATATAGCAAAGAAAAAAAAAAAATCCCAGTGGTGAATAAATATCACCAAAATAAAGCTTTATCTGTCTCAAAAAAAAGCTAAAACATTCATATGGGTACAGTGTTGCATGACAGCGCAATTGTCATTCAAAGTGTGATAGCGCTGAAAACTGAAAATTGGCCTGAGCAGGAAGGGGGTGAAAGTGTCCGGACTTGAAGTGGTTAACCACTTCCAGACCGGACACTTTTACCCCCTTCCAGACAGGGCAATTTTCAGCTTTCAGCGCTATCACACTTTGAATGACAATTGCGCGATAATGCAACACTGTACCCAAATGAATTTTTTACCATTTTTTTGAGACAGATAAAGCTTTATTTTGGTGGTAATTATTCACCACTGAGATTTTTATTTATGTAAATGAAAAAGTCCAAAAATTTTGAAAAAAAGTTGTTTTTTTTTTTTAAAATTTTGCAAATAAATAATATTTCATTATAAATCTTGGCCAAAATGTATTCCATTATCTTTTTAGTAAAAACAAATAATCCATATTAGTTTATAACCAAAAATTATAATTTTTAAACATTTTTTTTACATTTTTATTTAATTTTTTTATATTATTATTTTTTATTTTTACATACTGTCACCCTAGCAGTACAGTGTCACCACTTGTGGGGGGGTGATGAAGATTTTTTTTTTTTTTTTACACTTATTGCTTTTACACCCATATAGGATGTAAAAGCAATCATTTCTCCTTCTCTCTGTCTGCATTCTTGCACTCATTGAGAAGTACTGAGTGAGCTATGATTGGTCACAGCTTGTCACATGGTACTGTTGTGAATAGCCTTGTACCATGTGACCTCTGTGATCATTCACAGATTTCACACGTAGTTCACAAGTGACATCTTGCTTACTACTTTGCATGTGATCACTGATTGGCCAATCGGTGATCACATGATCGGGACCTTGTACAGAGGTCCCGTCCGACGATCGGTGTTTCACTGTGTCCGGAGGACACAGCGGGCACCGGATCGTGGTGCTGCGCGCTCCCAGGGAGTGCGCACAAGCAGTGTGCGGGGAGGCCGTTTATAAACGGCCACCCGACCCTGCACTGCCACCGTCTGGCCGTTTATATGCAACGGCCGGTCGGGAAGTGGTTAAAATGAAAGGCTGCCAGTACGCCTCAACCCGCAACAAAAAAATAGGTCCTGCACCAGTGCAAGGCAGACAGCATAAATATGTGTGTTGGGAGGCAGAACAAATCTACTGGGTGCTCCAGTAATGTGCTGTTTAATGTGAATCACAATTTTCTGTTGTAAATGAACCCTACGGGAAGATATTTGCTGTGCCTGCAGATTATACGGATAATGGTGTTAATGGTCTGTGCACCTCGATCACTTACACAATGTGGCAAGGCTCATTCCTGTCCTTCAAGCAGTGACCGGCCTCCCATTTCTTCTTAGTTGGGAAAGTGGATTTGACATATTTCGACCCAGCATGTGTATTCTTTACTCCACACCAGGGGGCATCTGATCAGAACACAGAAAATGACAGCCATTATGCCGGAAATAGAATGTATCTAAAATATTACATAGCATTTGTGGACATGTTTGTGCAGTTATTTTGTAGTCACCAATTCACCTGGGAGGTGCTTTATGTATACACTCTCCGGCCACTTTATGAGGTACACCTTGCTAGTACCGGGTTGGACCCCCTTTTGCCTTCAGAACTGCCTTAATTCTTCATGGCATAGATTCTACAAGGTGTTGGAAACATTCCTCAGAGATTTTGGTCCACATTGACCTGATAGCATCACGCAGTTGCTGCAGATTTGTCGGCTGCACATCCATCATGCGAATCTCCTGTTCCACCACATCCCAAATGTGTTCTATTGGATGGAGATCTGGTGACTGTGGAGGCCATTGGAGTACAGTGAACTCATTGTCATGTTCAAGAAACCAGTTTGAGATGATTTGAGCTTTGACATGGTGCATTATCTGGCTGGAAGGAGCCATCAGAAGATGGGGACACTGTAGTCATAAGGGGATGGACATGACAAGCAACAATACTCAGGTATTCCGTGGGGTTTAACCACTTTCCGTCCGATCACTGTATATAAACGGCCAGACGCTGGCAGTGCAAGGGCGGGTTGCTGTTCATAGACAGCGCCCGCCATTTTGGATTGTGCAAGCTCCCTGGGAGCGCGCGGCACCGCGAACTCCGAATGCTGTACAGGACCTCTGTGTGAGGTCCCAATCATGTAATCACTGATTGGCCAATCAGTGATCACATGAATAGTAGTAAACAAGATATCACTTCTGACATCATTGGGAGCGTGCAGCACCGCGATCCGGTGCCCGCTGTGTCCTCCGGACACAGTGAAACACCGATCGTCGGACGGGACCTCTGTACGAGGTCCCGATCATGTGATCACCGATTGGCCAATCAGTGATCACATGCCATGTAGTAAGCAAGATGTCACTTGTGACATCATTGCTTACTACGTGTGAAATCTGTGAATGATCACAGAGGTCACATGGTACAAGGCTATTCACAACAGCCTTGTACCATGTGACAAGCTGTGACCAATCACAGCTCTCACAGTATTTCTCAACGGCTGCAAGAATGCAGCCTGAGAGGAGAAATGATTGCTTTCACAGCCTTTATGGGTGTAAAAGCAATCAGTGTAAAAAAAAAAAAATCTTCATCACCCCCCACAAGTAGTACAGTGTCCCCATGGTGACACTGTACTGCTAGGGTGACTATGTTAAAAAAAAAAAACATAATATAAAAAAAAAATAAAAATGTAAAACATTTTTTTATTAATTATAATTTTTGGTTATAAACTAATTTGGAATATTTGTTTTTACTAAAAAGATAACTGAATACATTTTGGCCAAGATTTATGAAGAAAGATTATTTATTTGCAACATTTTATAAGAAAAATACTTTTTTTTCAAAATCTTTGGACTTTTTCATTTATATAGCAAAAAAAAAATAAAAATCCCAGTGGTGAATAAATACCACCAAAATAAAGTTTTATCTGTCTCAAAAAATGCAAAAAAATTCATATGGGTACAGTGTCGCATGACCGCGCAATTGTCATTTAAAGTGCGACAGCGCTGAAAGCTGAAAATTGGCCTGGGCAGGAAGGGGGTGAAAGTGTCTGGACATGAAGTGGTTAAGCGATGCTCAATTGATCCTAAGGGGCCCAAAGTGTGCCAAGGAAATCTCCCCCACACCAGGACGCCATCACCACCAGCCTGAAACATTGATACGAGGCAGGATGGATCCATGCTTTCATGTTGTTGACGCCAAATTCTGACCCTACCATCTGAATGTCGCAGCAACCAGTCTGCCCATTCTCCTCTGACATCAACAATGCATTTATGTCCACACAACTGCAGCTCACTGGATATTTTGTCCTTTTCGGACCATTCTCTGGAAACCCTAGAGATGGTTGTGTGGGAAAATCCCAGTAGATCAGCAGTTTTTTAATTACTCAGACCATCGCATCTGGCACCAACAACCATGCCACGTTCAAAGTCACTTAAATCCCCTTTCTTCCCCATTCTGATGCTCAGTTTGAATGTCAGCAAGTCGTCTTCACCACGTCTAGATGCCTAAATGCATTGAATTAGCAATCTGTGTTACCAAGCAGTTAAAGAGGTATACCCAATAAAGAGGCCGATGTGTATATATGACCATTATTGTGTTTTGTCAGCAGAATGTTTTCACATTATGGTGGAATAAATACATAGGTTGTAGTAGTAGAGCCCGGCACATGTATCCTTTACCCAGTTGATTTACCATTCAGGATATGATTAATCCCCAGGTCACATCTATGCGGTTTCCGTTGGCTGCGTTTGCTCGAGCAGAGCAGCCCATTCATTGCACCTTTTCCAAGAACGTGACCACAGGGAAACCGGATAGTAGTACAGATCCCAGTATGGGAAGCTGAGCTGCATGCAGGTGCCATTAGGATCAATGGTACCTCCACACATCTCCTAAGCAGCAGTGCGTTTTCCTCTGCGGGTGCGGGAAGGCCTGTGAACAGAGCCTAAGGCAGTGGTTCTCAACCTTCCTAATGCCGTGACCCTTTAATACAGTTCCTCATGTTGTGGTGACCCCCAACCATAAAATTATTTACCCAGAAATTATAATTCATGACTGTCGTTTTACCTCCAATACGGCTGCTTTCAACACAGTAGCTGCTTTTAACAGAGTAGCTGCTTTCAACACAGTAGCTGCTTTCTACACAGTAGCTGCTCTTTACACATCGGAAATATGTGTTTTCTGATGGTCTTAGGGGACCCCTGTGAAAGGGTCGTTCGACCCCCTAAGGGGTCGCGACCCACAGGTTGAGAACCACTGGTCTAAGGGTTCCTTTAAACTTGTGATAGGAAGGGAGGCACTAAATATAGGTGGCTAGGTCAGGTATTTACCACCCTATAACTGCCCCCCCCTTATGTTGCAAAGGAGGTGGATGGGGGTATACACATGCCATGATGCTTTGTGGCAAATAACCCCCCCCCCCTCACATTTCAACCCGTGCCCCCTGCCAAACACAACTCATTCAACTGAACAGGGCCAGGTCTTTAGGGGTACAAATAGGCATTGAGTTAGCAACATAACAGCTCCTCACTGCCTGCCAAACATCCTCTGAAAAGTGGTCCACAGTGGTTTGCTCTTCAAAGGGCGACGACAGTGTAAACAAGCCCAAAGGGAGATAATTCCATGGAGCCATCATAAATTGTATTTATTTTGATACTAGTTGTCACATGAACACTTATGTTCTACTGCAGTGGTTCTCAACCTTCCTAATGCCGCGACCCTTTAATACAGTTCCTCATGTTGTGGTGACCCCCAACCATAAAATTCTTTACCCAGTAATTATAATTCATGAGTGTCGTTTTACCTTCAATACTGCTGCTTTCAGACAGTAGCTGCTTTCAACACAGCAGCTGCTTTCTACACAGTAGCTGCTCTGTACACATCGGAAATATGTGTTTTCTGATGGTCTTAGGCAACCCCTGTGAAAGGGTCGTTTGACCCCCAGAGGGGTCGCGACCCACAGGTTGAGAATCACTGTTCTACTGGTTCATATTGTGTTATTTCAAGTGGCCCATTTATATTGTCTGTACAAAGATAATCCCTTGTTAAACCAGTACATTGCTTCCGGTCCAGTACAGCCTGTATATGTCTTGTAAAACTTGGGATATTTAAAGTGTTACTAAACCCACAACAGTAAAATCAGTCTGTATATGCAGTAAAGCATGCTTGTTATACTCACTGTGGAACCTAAGGGGTTAATCCTCTGCATTCTGTAAAAAGGCTGTTTGATCCTGACTTCTCTGATTCTCCCCTTCTTCCACAGTCCCCAATTCATGTGCTGATAGAACAGAGCCTTAGGGGCAAGCTGCACATGCTCCTTTTGGTGTGTATTGCTAGAGAGTTTTTTTTTCTTGGGAGAGTGCATGTGATCAGCACAGGGCTAATGAGCACCGTCCACACAGAGGGTCGGGTCCTGCAGCCTCATAGGACAATTAGGGTAGAATGAAAACTCCTACGAGGTTTAACCAGTGCTCTGCTGGACACTGCTAAAAGTCACAAGACTGCTCTAACTGCTGCTGAGAAAAGGTATTTAGCAATTTATATTTACTAAACTAATTGCACTTCCATGTTCTGTATACTGTGGGAGACCAGATATAGTGAAAGCAGGGTCTGGGGAGACCAGATATAGCGAATACGGGGTCTGGGGAGACCAGATATAGTGAATGCAGGGTCCGGGGAGACCGGATATAGTGAATGCAGGGTCCGGGGAGACCGGATATAGTGAAAGCAGGGTCCGGGGAGACCGGATATAGTGAATGCAGGGTCCGGGGAGACCAGATATAGTGAATGCAGGGTCCGGGGAGACCAGATATAGTGAATGCAGGGTCCGGGGAGACCAGATATAGTGAATGCGGGGTCCGGGGAGACCAGATATAGTGAATGCAGGGTCCAGGGAGACCAGATATAGTGAATGCAGGGTCTGGGGAGACCAGATATAGTGAATGCGGGGTCTGGGGAGACCATATATAGTGAATGCAGGGTCCGGGGAGACCAGATATAGTGAATGCGGGGTCCGGGGAGACCAGATATAGTGAATGCAGGGTCCAAGGACACCGGATATAGTGAATGCAGGGTCCGGGGAGTCCAGATATAGTGAATGCAGGGTCCGGGGAGACCGGATATAGTGAATGCAGGGTCTGGGGAGACCGGATATAGTGTATGCGGGGTCTGGGGAGACCATATATAGTGAATGCAGGGTCCAGGGAGACCAGATACAGTGAATGCAGGGTCCAGGGAGACCAGATACAGTGAATGCAGGGTCCGGGGAGACCAGATACAGTGAATGCGGGGTCCGGGGAGACCAGATATAGTGAATGCGGGGTCCGGGGAGACCAGATATAGTGAATGCGGGGTCCGGGGAGACCAGATATAGTGAAAGCAGGGTCCGGGGAGACCAGATATAGTGAAAGCAGGGTCCGGGGAGACCAGATATAGTGAATGCGGGGTCCGGGGAGACCAGATATAGTGAATGCAGGGTCCGGGGAGACCAGATATAGTGAATGCAGGGTCCAGGAACACTGGATATAGTGAATGCAGGCTCCGGGGAGACCAGATATAGTGAATGCAGGGTCCGGGAAGACCAGATATAGTGAATGCAGGGTCCGGGGAGACCAGATATAGTGAATGCAGGGTCCGGGAAGACCAGATATAGTGAATGCAGGGTCCGGGGCTAGTAACACTTTAAACCTAGAAACCACAGAGGATCACTTTTTTTTTTAGAAATATATTAGTAGACTTTGTTGAAAGAAAACTACCATTATCCTCCAAAAATGGTAAACCTCACCTGTCTCAATCATCAGTCTCTCGCTGGGGATGGTCTTCAAGACCTCCAGGTTTGATGCTGTTTTCAATGAACTGTGAGATGAGAAATGTAAACCTTTAAAAAAAATGTAATACTGCAGTCCGTATAGAATAAGAGCAGCTACCATCAGTGTCTTCATTCTGCCTCCCAGTCCAGCCCCTGCAGACTGAGTTAAGCTAGCCATACACATACTGATTTTTTTGTCCTCCTACACATTGAATGAAAGAAAATGATTCCCTCCTCCATACTAAACAGAAGGAATCTCTGTCTGATATTGTATTCTAACTGCTGGCACCCGCTGCTGTCAGAATACAGAGACTGCAGAGAATTTCCCACCTGGCTAAGCTGATTTTTTGCATTGACTTTTGTCAAGTCGGGTGGTGGCCACAGGGCCAACTACAGCTCAAATTCTGGCCAATTCAGCAAAAATCAGACGAAGTCCAAAACATGTCTGGCTAGTTTTATGACCTACGTCAACATGTTTTGGGCTTGGGTCAGCAATTACATGTGTACAGGGACGTATGAGCTGCACCAAACGCGGACAGTTTGCATCAGTGCTGGCTCTAGATGCCTCTGTCCCTCATAGTAAACATCTAAAGTGGTAGTAAAGTCCGCTTTGTGATTTTTACCTATAGGTATGCGTATAATAAAGCTTTCCTGTAGATAAAATGAATATTTCCGAAACGTGCACCACTTAGGAGATATTCACTCTTTTTTGGCAGCCGGCGCATGCGCTCTTACGTAATGGCGTACCCGTGCCGTTTCTTCGGAGCACTGTTCCGTGCCCCATGACTCCCGGTGAGTGACTTCATCGCGGCTCAGCCAGTCAGACAGCTGGAACCCGTGAAGATGACAACGCACCGCTGGAGGGCTTCGTTCTAAGGCAAGGATTTCATAATGTACTAGTATGCCATGCAATTGCCTTGCAGGGGATTTTTTTATTTATTTTTTTTTCAAAGCTGCGGTTTGCTACCAGTTTAACATCCTTTCATTTAAAGAAACTCCACAGATACTTGGTGACCCTGCCAATGCCCAAATCACTGATGGGATTCTTATTTGATACTGACCATGCTAGGTAGAGAAGCATATCTGTTCTAATGTGGTCAGACTGCATTCAGACTGTATAGGCGGCACTGATGATGGGTACTGAGCACTGATAGGCGGCACTGATGAGCTTGCACTGATGATGGGTACCGATAGTCAGCACTGACTGGCGGCACTGTTGGGCTGCACTGATGGGCACTGGTAGGTGACACTGGTGGGTGGAGCTGGTGAGTGGCACTGCTGGGCACCGATCATCAGGGCATTGATCATCAGGGCACTGATGATCGGTGCCGATCCCCGCTCTGACAACTTCCGGTTCTCGGCAGTACTTTCCTCACACTCTGACAGCATGAGGAAAGTGCAGCCGAGAACCGGCAATTGCATTTCCCAGTGATCAGCGTGTCATTGGACACGGCTGATCACATGGTAAAAGACAGCTGTGATTGGCCTTTTACCACATCACGTGATCAGCTGTTTCTGTAGGACACAGCGATCGTGGAGATTGCCAGGTGCGCAGGAGAGCGCGTTCTGGGAGGATATCATATGACGGCCTCCCAGAACTGGCCGGGCGCAGTGCAGCCATCATTCGTCTACCTGCGGTCCGCAACTGGTTAAAGAAGGGATAGAAAGAGGGACACAAGCAGCATGGGGACCAGGTGGGATCTGATAGAGGCTGCGGGTTGCTTGATGGTGTATGCAGAGCCTGTTTCTTGTTCCCGGGGATGTCCGGAGCTGTGAAGGTGAGTGTCTTCTCTCTTGTTGGGGTGGGGGGTAGTGGAATGCTCTCTCTGATGGGGGGCTGGGGTGTTGTTGATCAAAGTCAGGCACTCTTCATGGGGGGAGGGGGGTGTTGGTCAGTGTCAGGGTCTCTCCATATGGGAGGGGGGGGGGAGATTTTTGTGTTGCCTGGGACAGTACAAAACCTACAGTAAATACACCACTGGTACAGACCCACTACATTGACAGCACATGGCATCAGGGCCGCTATGCGCAGCAGAGTCTTCAGGGGTGGTCAGAATATTTGAAATTAGTTCACCTTTTAAGTTGTCATGAAACGGTGAATTTACTACTAATGTGAAGCGTTTATTATGGGACAGTCTGCTTATCATTTGCAGACTTGACATAGGCTTTAGGTTTTAAGTAAAATTTGTATAGAACAGAGTGCCTGGCTCTTAGGTTTACAGCCTTTAATACCAAGTTTCACCCACTGCTGGAAATGCATGCAACATCTGAAATAGCTGATCCCTATCCTGATAAATCCATAGACCCAAGGGAAGATGAATCCCTATCTTACCTCTCATGCTAGAATGATTCTCTCAGTAAGCTTTGCTTGTGGTTTATTATATACAGATACATCTAAGTGAACAACTTCAGTTTTTACCAGCCATTAATGCCAATGTAGAGATTCAGATCCATTATAGCTTCTGCATCTTCTTTGGTTCCATCAAATGAATGAACCTAAATATACCAAAGGCTTAGATTTATTTATTTGATACAGGTATTCATATCGCGTCAACAATTTATGCAGTACTTTACATATTGCACACTCACTGCCCTTGAAGACCTTACAATCTAAGGTTCCTATCTCACATATTGTACATACATACAGGGCTGCTGTTAGAAACCACGGGGCCCATGCAGCCAACCTGACAGGGCCCCCCAAACTACGGGGCCCCATACAGCCAACCTGACAAGCCCCCCCCACACACACACACAGAAAAAACACAGTTTACTATGCTTCAATTATGAATGAACACAATGATTGATTGTTAGGCTTGGGATTTTAGCAGTGTGAGCTGGGTAAGGAAAAGTATAAAAATCATTACTGGGACAGTTTTTTAAATGAAACAATATCACACGATGGAAGGATTCTTCTTCTTGTTTTATAAACACCGATGAGGAAGCTGAGTTGCAATTAGATCAGTGGTTCTCAACCTTCCTAATGCCGTGACCCTTTAATACAGTTCCTCATGTTGTGGTGACCCCCCAACCATAAAATTATTTACCCAGTAATTATAATTCATGAGTGTCGTTTTACCTCCAATACTGCTGCTTTCAGCACAGTAGCTGCTTTTAACAGAGTAGCTGCTTTCAACACAGCAGCTGCTTTCTACACAGTAGCTGCTCTTTACACACCGTAAATATGTGTTTTTCTGATGGTCTTCGGGGACCCCTGTGAAAGGGTCGTTCGACCCCCAAAGGGGTCACGACCCACAGGTTGAGAACCACTGAATTAGATCATATGAAAACCATCCGGACATCAGGAGAGGTGATACCTGTAAGTTCTGAAGGGGGCTACCACCACTGTTTGTGATACCGAATCTGACGTGGAGGATTTAGCGGTTGGCTGTGCTTAATAGCAAAAAAGTGTTTTGACCCTGTGGGGTCACTTCATGAAGAAGAGGGGGCAATCCTACCGGTGAAGGATTACACTTTGTGTTCACCTGCCAGATTTATATTTATCGCTGGAGGTTTTTATATATCCAGCCATATTGAAGATTACACACGTGGACGATTTGTTTTTGTTTATTAATAATTGGTGGCACGTGTTTTTGAGGACTTTTTTACAAATGGATTTAAGTTATGTGTTTATCATAGAGTGTCACTGGATTTTCATTTGTGGATTCACCCATTTTTTTTTTTTTTTTCCTATTTATATAGCAGTATAGTCCTAAGTTTGAGGACTAGAGCACGGCAAAATATATACATTTTGTTACATGTGGGCACTTGTTAAGTGGTGGTCGCACATTTATGTCGAAGGATTTGTTATAGTCCTTGTGGATTGTCTTTTAGTCAGGGTTAATTAATCCTGACCGTCGAATTGTTTGTTTTATAGGCACAATAGTGCCATTTGTCAGTTTATTTCCACTGCACCTTTGGGCATTCATTTTATGCCAAGTGTTTTATCACGTGTGGCTTAGTACATTTTTGTGATTTCACCCTGTTTAGGGACACAAGTGGGTCTATGTATCGTTTTTTTTATGTGTTTTGCACTTTTATTTACTATATGGTTTACCATACATCACTGTATAAGATTGTATAATAACATGAAGAACTGAGTTTGTGATAATTACACACAGGAGGATTCACTAGGGGTGTAATTGAAACCTCATTTTGATTTAATTATTTATATAAGTACAAGTGTGGGAGCGCTGCACCAATTTTGTTATAATTTAGACGTTTTTTAGGCTACGTTTTCCAGCAGTCAGTTTCCGTTTTTCAGAAGTGTCCCGTGTACATGGGGCCTTAAGAGTGTTGGAGGAATTCGACACAAGCACAGGGGAACATGCAGGCTCCAAGCAGGCATTGTCCTAGCTGCAATTTGAAATGTTGACTTCAGTGCAGCAAAGCAAAAGTGCTAACCACTAAGCTACTGCACCTCCCACACACAATATCATCACGTAGTATATATATTCGTATATATATTTCATATAAATATATATATATATATCACATAATACAGCACTTGAACTTGTGAACTTGTTAGCCTGCTCGTCTTGCAGCACTGGGGAATTTCCAACATGGAACTAATATGCATGAAGTGTGTATGATCTTGCTTTGTGCGGTTTTCCTCCAGACACTCTGATTCCCACTGAAAGACGCACTGATTGGATAATTACTGTCTGACCAAGCTTGTTCTACAGCACATGTTTTTACATAAATGTAGATTGAGCTGTATATTGTAGCACGTTTTAGCGGCAAGGATTGATGTGGTTTGTTCTGTGCATGTAAAACTCTGGGGAATATGTCAGGGCTATATACGAGGGTTCTTCAAAAAGTTTCCGCACTTTTTAAAACTCTATTTTATATATATATATATATATATATATATATATGTGTGTGTGTGTGTGTGTGCTGAAACATTTTGAAGACCCCCTCGTAAATAGTGGAAATGCAAAATACGGCACAGCCATCATTTTATATCCTAATAGCATTTATTTGGAATCAGTCTTGATTTCCACTTATACTCACCACTCCTCCAACACATCGATCCCGATTCCTCCCCATAATATCTGGAATTAAAGAAAATGAGAACCCAAATAAGTGTGTCATGCTCTAACAACTGAGCTAACCAGGTAGACAAAGACCAAATAAGTACAGAAAAGACTTGTCAAATATTGCATCCATTAGTAAACACTTCAAAGTGTCATCCCTGGACCCCCCACCTATGTTCTTGATAGCCAAGTTCAGCAAACTACACAATATTGCCAAAAGTATTGGGCCAGTCCTCCAAATCATTGGATTCAGGTGTTCCAATCACCTCCATGGCCACAGGTGTATAAAATCAAGCCCCTAGGCATGCAGACTGCTTCTACAAAACATTTGTGAAAGAATGGGTCACTCTCAGGAGCTCAGTGACTCCAAGCGTGGTCCCGTGATATGATAGGTTGCCACCTGTGCAATAAGTCCATCTGTGACATTTCCTGGCTACTAAATATTCCACGCTCAACTGTTAGTGGGATTATAACAAAGTGGAAGCAACTGGGAACAACAGCAACTCAGCCACCAGGTGGTAGGCCATGTAAAATGACAGAGTGGGGTCAGCGCATGCTGAAGCGCACAGTGCGCAGAAGTCACCAACTGTATGCAGAGTCAATAGCTAAAGACCTCCAAACTTCATGTGGCCTTCAGATTAGCACAACAACAGTGCGTAGAGATCTTCATGGAATGGGTTTCCATGGCCGAGCAGCTGCATCCAAGCCTTACATCACCAAGTGTAACGCAAAGCATTGGGTGCAGTGGTGTAAAGCACGCCGCCACTGGACTCTAGAGCAGTGGAGATGTGTTCTCTGGAGTGACGAGTCATGCTTTTCTGTCTGGCAATCTGATGAACGTGTCTGGGTTTGGTGGTTGCCAGGAGAACGGAACTTGCCTGACTCTATTGTGCCAAGTGTAAAGTTTGGTGGAGGGGGGGTTAAGGTGTGGGTTTGTCTTCAGCGGTTGAGCTTGGCCCCTTATTTCCAGTGAAGGGAACTCTTAAGGCATTAGCATATCAAGACATTTTGGACAATTTCATGCTCCCAACTTTGTGGGAACAGATTGGGGATGGCCCCTTCCTGTTCCAACATGACTGCGCACCAGTGCACAAAGCAAGGTCCATAAAGACATGGATGAGCAGGCCAGTCAAGTTCCTAAACCCCAAACTCGCTCATCCATGTCTTTATGGACCTTGCTTTGTGCACTGGTGTGCAGTCATGTTAGAACAGGAAGGGGCCATCCCCAAACTCTTTTCACAAAGTTGGGAGCATGAAATTATCCAAAATGTCTTGGTATGCTGACGCCTTAAGAGTTCCCTTCATTGGAACTAGGGGGCCAAACTCAACCCCTGAAAAACAACCCCAAACCATAATCCCCCCTCCACCAAACTTTACACCTGGCACAATGCAGTCAGGCAAGTACCATTCTCCTGGCAACCGCAAAACCCAGACACGTCCATCGGATTGCCAGACAGAGAGCGTGATTGATCACTCCGTGAACAGGTCTCCACTGCTCTAGAGTCCAGTGGCGGCGTGCTTTACACCATGGCATCCGATGCTTTGCATTCTATTTGGTGATGTAAGGCTTGGATGCAGCTGCTGGGCCACGGAAACCCATTCCATGAAGCTCTCTACGCACTGTTGTTGTGCTAATCTGAAGGCCACACCAAGTTTAGCTATTGACTCTGCAGACAGTTGGTGACTTCTGCGCACTGTGTGCTTCAGCATGCGCTGACCCCGCTCTGTGATTTTACGTGACCTACCACTTGGTGGCTGAGTTTCTGTTGTTCTCAGTTGCTTCCACTTTGTTACAATATCACTAACAGCTGACCGTGGAATATTTAGTAACAAGGAAATGTCATGGATGGACTTATTGCACAGGTGGTGACCTATCACAGGACCACGCTTGGAGTCACTGAGCTCCTGAGAGCGACCCATTCTTTCGCAAATGTTTGTAGAAGTAGTCTGCATGCCTAGGGGCTTGATTGTATACACCTGTGTCCATGGAGGGGATTGGAACACCTGAATCCAATGATTTGGAGGGGTGGCCCAATAATTTTGGCAATATAGTGTATATGTGTTTTATAAATATGACACTTACCTAAAAATTCTTTATGCGAGTTCCGACAGTGCAGGAACATGGGCAGTTTGGAATGCTCAGCCAGATGAAACTGCTTCTCAAAATACCTTTCCAGAGAGAAGAAGAGGCATACAAACAGTTACTTTTCTGATTTCACTGGGGACACAATACAACCCTTTTAATGCTTTGCAGTGATTAACGCAGTGAAATGCAAGTGTGTATCTCTAGTAGACAAGCAGATATCAGAGATAAACACTAAAGGATTTTGGAAACATTACATCTACAGCCAAATATAAACAGCTGAAGACCATAGAAATATGGATTATGCCTTGAAAACCTTCTCATACAACCCTGGGAATGCACCGTATGCTCTGGCCCTCTTCCCCCACCACCGCTCCCCAGTTCTTACAATGACTGCTGAAGCCTCTCCAGTTATTATCTGAAAGTGCCTACACAGACCCACCAACAAATCCTACAGATCTGAGCAATGGGAGCATGTACTGATGGTTATGGTGAGGCCAGGGGCGGACTGACCATTTGGAAACTCGGGCACTGCCAGAGGGCCCGGGGTCAGTAGGGGGCCCCATGAGATGCCCCTGGTACCTTTTTCATAGGCTTTTTTGAGTTTGGGCAAGGACACAGGGGCCCCATGATCCCCTATTGCCCGGGGGCCCCATGAGTTGTCAGTCCGTCCCTGGGTGAGGCTAAAGTAAAACTAGGGATGTACCAATATAAATCCGCGGTCCAAAATAATAGCATTTTGCCAATAACAAAAAAGGTGCAGATAATGGGGCCAATACATGCAAAGTCGCGTCTCATAGACATTCATGGAAAACACCCTCTAGTGACTTCAATGCAAAATCATGTCCATAGACTTTCGTGCAAAGTCGAGTCCACATTGACTTCAATGCAAAAACGTCCCCTAGTGACTTCAATGCAAAATTACCAGCGCATTAATTAAATAAATAATAGAAAAAAAAAATTAAAAACTGTCTGTTTTTGTTACGGTTTCCAGCCAAGTGCATCCTGAATTTTCGGTTTTGGCACCAGAATTTTAATTTCTGTGCACCATTAAGTAAAACTATAGGTAAAACATTTTTTTTTAATTTTAGAGGGAGGGTTATAACATCCTTCAGTTTATTTTTCCCATTGAGAAGATTTATCTTCACTTCCTGTCCCATAGCCAAAACAGGAAGTGAGAGGAAATCTATGCAAATTAAAGAAATCTCTTGGGGTCCGCCATGTCACCAGAACTAGTGTCCTCATTGGAAGATTTCCCTTCTATTATTTTTCTAGGGACAACCCAAAATTTGGGATTTTCTTTTAGCTTCGATGATGACAGTAAACAAGACAAAGCGAGAGAGTGAACCTCCCTAGCGGGGAGCAGACCACAATAAAAGCAGGACAGGTGTTCTAACCTGTCTCTCTATATGATCTATTCACTTTCCTATTTTCAGCCCGGTACGGTCACGTGATCCGGCTCCTCTGTGTCAGCCAGCGGCAGCTGCAGGGGAGAAGAGAGAGTGCCTGATAATGGCTGTGAAAACTGGGAGCAATGACAACACCTATAGGTTCTCATGGTGCAGCTGTTGTCAGCAGTCCCTCTTCTCCCTTGCAGCCGCCATTGGCTGACACAGGGAAGCCAGACCATATGAGTAGGCTGAAAATACAGCAGGCAAGGGCATACATCCTTCTTACACAGATTAATCAGCATAGGTGTCAGGATGGGGACGGAGCATTCTTAAAACTAGTTAGGCTTTAGCGGATTTCTACTTTAAAAGCTAAGTTCACCTTTAGGAACATGTTACACATTCCACCCATTTTTAGGGTGGAACATTTAACATGTTGCCGCTCCTGCAGTTGCTCGTGGATCCAAGCGGTCTGTGTGACACCAGTATAGGGAGACATTCCTCATACCACCTGTCACTTTGAAAAGAATGTGGCCATACGGGGCTCCACCCACAGTTGTGTGAATGTATCGACTATAAGTACTGATGTCCTTTGCGGATGTCGGCTTGTAGTCCCCAATGAACTATCATGACGTTGTTGAGTGCTCTGGTAGTTCATTGATTCTTCCTGTCAGTACGATGTACGGGGCGGACAGCTTACAGTGACGGTCTGTAGGAGTCAGTCATGGCAAAAGTGATCTGTTGATTGCTGGTGCAATGCTTTGCAGACTCCTGATAGTAATTGTACATTTTTTTTTAACTGCAAAAAAAATGTGCATTTATTTATATTTAAAAGGTGAACTTATCCTTTAAAGTGTTACTAAACCCCGGACCCTGCATTCACTATATCCGGTCTCCCCGGACCCTGCATTCACTATATCCGCTCTCCCCGGACACTGCACTCACTATATCCGGTCTCCCCCCCGGACCCTGCATTCACTATATCCGGTCTCCCCGGACCCTGCATTCCCTATATCCGGTCTCCCCGGACCCTGCATTCACTATATCCGGTCTCCCCGGACCCTGCATTCCTATATCCGGTCTCCCCGGACCCTGCATTCCCTATATCCGGTCTCCCCGGACCCTGCGTTCACCTATATCCGGTCTCCCCGGACCCTGCATTCCCTATATCCGGTCTCCGGACCCTGCGTTCCCTATATCCGGTCTCCCCGGACCCTGCGTTCCCTATATGGTCTCCCCGGACCCTGCATTCCCTATATCTGGTCTCCCCCGGACCCTGCATTCCCTATATCCGGTCTCCCCGGACCCTGCATTTCACTATATACGTCTCCCCGGACCCTGCATTCACTATCTCCCCGGACCCTGCATTCACTATATCTGGTCTCCCCGGACCCTGCATTCACTATATCTGGTCTCCCTGGACCCTGCATTCACTATATACCGCGTCTCCCCCCGGACCCTGCATTCACTATATCCGCTCTCCCGGACCCTGCAGTCACTATATATCTGTCTCTCCGGACCCTGCAGTCACTATATCTGGTCTCCCCCGGACCCTGCATTCACTATATCTGGTCTCCCCCGAACCCTGCATTCACTATATCTGGTCTCCCCGGACCCTGCACTCACTATATCTGGTCTCCCCGGACCTGCATTCACTATATCTGGTCTCCCAGGACCCTGCATTCACTATATCTGGTCTCCCCGGACCCTGCATTCACTATATCTGGTCTCCCCCGGACCCTGCAATCACTATATCTGGTCTCCCCCGGACCCTGCAATCACTATATCTGGTCTCCCCGGACCCTGCATCCACCATATCTGGTCCCCCCGGACCCTGCATTCACTATATCTGGTCTCCCCGGACCCTGCATTCACTATATCTGGTCTCCTACAGTACACACTCTAGGAGGATGCAGGACTTGACCCTCTGCTGGACAGTGCTGATTGGCCCTGTGCCACATGCACTCTCCCAAGAATAAAAAAAAAAAAAAACCTCTCTAGCAATACACACCAAACTGACCATGTGCATGTGACTACGGATTCACTTCTGTATCAGGTCCCCAGACATATGAACAAGAGGAGGGGCAGAGTCTCCCAGGATCAAACAGATTTTTTACACAATGCAGAGGATTAACCCCTTAGGTTCTACAGTGAGTATAACAAGCATGCTTTACTGCATATACAGACCGATTTTACTGTTGTGGGTTTAGTAACACTTTAATGCAGGCCATAGATGGGTCGAAAATCAGCCGATTTTTCGGCCGAAAATAAAATCGGCTCGTTAGTGGGCGATTTGGTCGGCCGTTTTTCGACCGTTTTTTTTTTTTCGGTAAAGTTGGAAAAAAATCGGCCGATTTTGCCGATCGGCCGATTTTCGGGCAATTAGTGGGCAAATCGGCCGATTTTTTACCGATAAAAAATCAGAGCAGTGACCTGCAAGAGGAAGACAAAAAGAAGAAGAGGAAGACGATGAAGAAGAGGATGAAGAAGAAGAAGAGGAAGAAGAAGAGGATGAAGAAGAAGAGGATGAGATGAAGAAGAAGAAGAGGATGAGGATGAAGAAGAAGAAGAGGATGAGGATGATGATGAAGAAGAGGATGAGGATGAAGAAGAGGATGCGGATGAGGAAAAGAAAAGAGGATGAAGAAGAAGACATGAAGAAAGGATGAGGATGAATAAGATGATGATGAGGATTGATGATGAAGAAGAAGAGGATCAGGAAGAGGATGAGAAGAAGATGAGGAAGGAGGATGAGGATGAAGAAGAAGGGATGAGAGAAGAAGAAGAGGATGAAACAAGAAGAGGATTTGATGAAGAAGAAGAATACACAGGATGCAAGAGGATGAGGATGAACCCCTTAAGAGGATGAGGATGAAGACAAGAGGAGTATAACAGAAGCATGGATTCCTGCATGAGGATGAAGAGAAGAAGAAGAGGATGAGGATGAAGAAGAGGATGAGGATGAAGAAGAAGAAGAGGATGAGGATGAAGAAGAAGAAGAAGAGGATGAGGATGAAGAAGAAGATGAGGACATTCTTTTGAAGAAGAAGAAGAGTTTTAGGATGAAAATAAAAGAATTCCAGTAAAAAAGTGTCTCTGCACTTTATTTGTGTCAGTCCTTTCCTTGACAAAAAACATTGCAGTTTCCTGAATCAAAACATCTGTATCCTAAATGGAAAACAGAAAGAGATTGAGAAATAAATGTCAAGGAACTGTCAAGAACTGTCAAAGAAATAGCAAGCTCTCTGCAGTACACTTTTTGCCGGCTCTAGACGGGTAGAATAATTTTTTTTACATTGATGGTAACGTCGGCCACTTGAACAACCGATTTTTCGTTTTTTAAAAGAAAAATCTGCAGTTTTTCTCCCCCATCTATGGCCTGCATAAGTTAATGGACATATTGTGAAAACGTCCCAACTGCTGCATGTCATGGACATTCTTTTGAGGTCAGTTTTCCTGGAATAAAATTATTAAAATGTCTCTTACTTTAAGTTGTGTCTCCTTTGGACAAAATTGCAGCCTGTCAAAGTCTATCAGAAAGAGAGAGAAAAAAAACCCAACAATAACATAAACAACGGTACACAATTGTTCTGAATAATCAGCTGCTCACGATTTAAAAATAAAAGTGTTACCATCCTTTAAAAGCCTGTCAGGAAGGCTTGGTCACAAGTGTTTGTTTAGATGTCACAATGGCAGCCCATTCAATTCAAACTGCTTTCATTTCTGCACAGATGCATGTAGGCTTGTGCATTTGAGGTGCCCTTAAGAATGAACAGCACCGCAGTGCATCTGGCAGACCATAGCGCGTTTTCATGCGTTGTGGGGTTGTGTACAATATTGCATCGCATAAGTGTGAAGGGGCCCTAAATAGGGGATCACCAATGCAAGGGAAGAGGTCACCCAAAGTCCTTGCTGGCCTGTCAACTGGCTGATCTCACGTGCTGTCTCCCAGCTTTTGAGTGTGCAGTGCGTATAGACACATAGCAAGGTTTCATGTGACCTTGGCCCAGGGGCGGACTGACAACTCATGGAGCCCCCGGGTAATAAAAGATCATGGGGCCCGTGTTCTTCTTGTCTACACTCTAACCACACCCAAAAAAAAGCCTATGAAAAAAACCTATGAAAAGGGGCATCTCATGGGGCCCCCTACTGACCTCGGGCCCTCGGGCAGTGCCCGAGAGCCCGAATGGTCCGTCCGCCCCTGCTCTGGCCCCTTCTAAGTGTCGGAAACAGAACATAAAGCTAAGTAATGAATGAAAAATAAATCTTTCACTTAAAATAATCAAATGGGGGTTATTTACTAAAACTACATGGTGTGAAATCTGGTGCAGTTCTGACAGAAACCAATCAGCTTCCAAGATTTAATGTCACAGGTTCATTGAACAAGTCAGAAGCTGACTGGTCACCATGCACAGCTGCACCAGATTCTGAGTGCTGCAGTTTTAGTAAATCTACCCCCAATGTCTCCATAGTTAAGCAGGCCATACATGGGTTGAATACCAAATGATTTTTCGTTCTGTAATCCGATGGTGTCACCAATGATTTCGAAAATTGGTAGTTTTTCTTGAATTTTCCAGCATGCCCGATAAATTAAATAGGAAGGAACCACGAAAATCAGCCGGTGCCATTGCCCCACTAACAGAGCGAAAATCGGCTGATTAGTCTTAGGTCTGATTTTCGAACTAAAAATCGTTCAAAAATCGACCCACGTATGGCCAGCCTAAGGCTCCATGAACACGGGGCGTTTTAATAACACTATATATATATAAAGAAAATGCAGCGCTGTGTGATGTTACTATATTGCGGGCAGATATAAATAATAAATGAAACCAAAGCAAATGAATAAATCAATAAATCAATCAATAAATAAATAAATCACAGTCCAGTAATGGTGCTCGCTGATTCCCAGTGCAAAAGTTAGAAATGCGCACTAACCAGAAACGTATTAATAATACGCATGTGTATATGATATCATGGAGATTCCCCTCTCTTTTCTGGTCTGGTAATGGGCAGGAGCTGAAGATAGTAGAGATGAAGCGCCCTCGTGTGGCGAAATGGAGGTCCAGCAGGTCACAGAAATCCTTACAGAAGTGTGTGAAGTGGAAAATTCCTCCTCTCAAAGACTGGCGCAGGGGTCAATCTGGGTCTGCAGAAGCTGAAAAGGCTCATCGCAGAAGACACAGGAAAGAACCCATAGTGTCAGGGCCCAGGACACCATTGACACTACGCCGCCGGTGGCACGTGGAGGCCCGGCGGCCATCTTTAATCTTAAAGGGTCAGTCATTTGATTAAACCTGGCACCATTGTGAGTTTTTTCCTGAACACTCCTGTTTTTCTTGAATAAAATCATTTTCATCAACCTACTACACTATGGGTTCTTTCCTGTGTCTTCTGCGATGAGCCTTTTTAGCTTCTGCAGGGACCCAGATTGATCCCTGCACCAGTCTTTGAGAGGAGGAATTTTCCACTTCACACACTCCTGTAAGGATTTCTTTGACCTGCTGGACCTCCATTTCGCCACACGAGGGCGCTTCATCTCTACTATCTTCAGCTCCTGCCCATTACCAGACCAGAAAAGAGAGGGGAATCTCCATGATATCATATACACATGCGTATTATTAATACGTTTCTGGTTAGTGCGCATTTCTAACTTTTGCAAGGGGAATCAGCGAGCACCATTACTGGACTGTGATTTATTTATTTATTGATTTATTTATTCATTTATTCATTTGCTTTGGTTTCATTTATTATTTATATCTGCCCGCAATATAGTAACATCACACAGCGCTGCATTTTCTTTATATATATATTTTTTTGGACTTTTATGTGTTTTCCTTGAATGTTCAGCTGCTGACCATTGGAGCGCTCACTGTATTTTTTATACTCTCATGCGTTTTAATAACACTGGTTACGTTAGCTTTGTAAAGTCACGTTAAAAACGTGAGTTTTTCATCATTTTTGCATTAGAGTTTAGCCAGGTTTTTTGCGCGTTTGCGTTTTTTAGCCAAAAAAAAATTTTTTTTTCTCTGATCAAGAAAACGTCGAAAAATGCCAGTTAGAGCGTTTTTACAGATAAAAAAACTCCTCTAGAAACCCACTAGTCCTGGGATTTTTTTCCAGCCAAAAAACGTTGATTACAGTCTATGTTTGCATGGACACAAAGGATAACATGCTGGGGGGCTGTAGAAAAAAAAACATCTAAAGCCAAAATCAGCCGCTGTAAAAATGTCCAGTGTGCATGAGGACTAAGAATTCTGATAAATTGATACCTCTTATAGTCTAGGTAATTACTGTAGATGGTGGGGAGCCCCTGGACCCTTTGTACACACTAAACAGAGAGTTTTGAGTCCGACCCAGGGGGGACTGACCATTTGGAAACTCGGGCAGTGCCCGAGGGCCCGGGGTCAGTAGGGGGCCCCATGAGATGCTCCTGGTATCTTTTTCATAGGCTTTTTTGAGTTTGGGCAAGGACACAGAGGCCCCATGATCTCCTTTTGCTCGGGGGCCCCATGAGTTGTCAGTCCGCCCTGGTCCGACCCATCCTGCATCTGAGACCGCCCCCTAATGGAACTTATCCCACCCCTGCTTTTTAGCAGTCGAGTGTGAATGCCTGCACTGCCCCTGAGGTTCTGCCAGTGGACTTCTCATTGAAGGGGTTTGGTTTAGCTGAATTGTGTACAACATGCAGATTCTAGAGGCTCCCCAGATCACGGCTGAAAGAAAGAAAGAAACATCAACAGACTCCCCCACTGATGTTAGCAACATGGATGAAGGAATCTCCACTGCAAGCTATTGTACACATCTGTGGCTGCCTGAACACCATAATGCTGCAGAACAGTGACTGCATCTGATAAAACAATGTCACCATTTGGCCGATAATCTTCCACCCTGGTCAACTTTACCAAGCTGGGTGGTGCCTTGATTCCTGCTTAATTGGCCAAAATATGAACGCTCCATGGGGCCTTTAACCACTTCACTACCACCATACATATTAAAAAGACCGAGTAATGGACATTTTTAGAGTGCCGTTCACAAATGACACTTCAGAAAATATACATGGGGGGCCAATCATCGTACGACACATACAACGTACAGAGCCAATCCAAGCGTCATCACAAAAATATAAACACTCTGAGAGCCCTCTCCGTCCTATCAGGAAGAAGTATTTATGAAGATTACATGAGTGAAGGGAGTAGCAGATGAATAGAAGATTACACAATTACCAGTTATAAAAGATTAAAGAATTAAAGATTACATGACAGAAAAGAGCAACAGATTAATACTGAAGGATTTTAACTGATTGTGGGATTTTTTTTTTTACCTCCCCCCAACCCCACCTCTCCTGTACATCTCAGCTATATGCTATCTCTTTATGTGACCTGAATATTAACCCTTCACCCTCCTTACCCTGAACATCAACCCCCTGATCTCCATTCTCTCTCTGTACGTGACCTGTACATCAATAGTGCTGCTGTATCTAGTGCAGCAATACTATAGCCGGCCATAGATGGATTCAATCTCAGCTAATTCAGCAGGGACCGGCCGAGATTGGATCCATCTATAGGCAGGCTGGTTGATGGATCCACTTTATTACAATCGACTTCAGTACAACCCAGCTGTCAGTTTTTTGCATATGATCACTGCCAGCAGCTATAGCCACTAGCAGTGATCATTGTGTTCTGCCAGCAGGCAGGGCTCCCTTGCTGGCATAATACAATAGTGCCGCGGGAAGGATTCCCCCATCAACATCGACTGTGTTGATGGGGGAATCGTGTGCGGTACTAATGTATTATGCATCATCTATGGCTTGCTCACTTTTCACATTTTAACCTCAAGACCAGCATATTCCATCATTACTCAAGAATTGTAGCAAAAATGAGATGACCATGATGGGGTCATGGCTTCTGATCAGGAGCAAGTGGGATGAGCGCCTGCTGATGTGACAACTGTGAGCGCCAAATGGAGCAGTCACGTGATAGAGAAGCCATGCTACCTCCTGAGTATTAAAGCCCACTTAAAGGGCTGCCCAGGTGCAGTGTGAAGGGGTTAAATACCACAAAAATAAAAAAAATATGTAAAACTCATTTGGGTCCAGTGTTGTATGCAAGTAATTGTCAGTCAAACTATCACTGCACTGAAAACTGAAAAATAACCTGGTAATTACCGTATTTTTCGCTCCATAAGACGCACTTTTTTCCCCCCCAAAAAGGGGGGAAAATGTCAGTGCGTCTTATGGAGCGAATATAAAGCGGCCGGTCCGGTATTTCTGCCGCCACCATGTCAGAATACCGGGTCGGCCGCTCAGCTGTTCTCTCCTGCAGGGCCTTACCTGTTCCTCGCTCCAGCGCTGCACAGTCTTCCCGCGCTGACTTCTGTGACAGCCGGGTACCCATTGCGCATGTGCTGCGCTTTGTGAATGATCCGGTGTCTTCTGGGACACATGACAGGTCCCAGAAGGCGCCGGGCCATTCACAAAGCACAGCGCTTCTCGCGCATGCGCAGTGGGCACCCGGCTGTCACAGAAGCCGGCCCGGGAAGAAGAGGGAAAGACAACTCCTCGGAAGTGGGAGCGGATACCTGTCAAATTCAGGTACCCGCTCCCCCTAACTCCCCAAAGGTCAGCAGTCTCTGGTCATTCCCTGCACTGTCTGCAATCTCTGGTCATTCCCTGCACTGTCTGCAGTCTCTGGTCATTCCCTGTACTGTGTCCGCAGTCTCTTGGTCATCCCCTGCACTGTGTCCGCAGTCTCTGGTCATCCCCTGCACTGTGTCCGCAGTCTCTGGTCATTCCCTGCACTGTGTCCGCAGTCTCTGGTCATCCCTGCACTGTGTCCGCAGTCTCTGGTCATCCCCTGCACTGTGTCCGCAGTCTCTGGTCATCCCCTGCACTGTGTCCGCAGTCTCTGGTCATCCCCTGCACTGTGTCCGCAGTCTCTGGTCATCCCCTGCACTGTGTCCGCAGTCTCTGGTCATCTCCTGCACTGTGTCCGCAGTCTCTGGTCATCTCCTGCACTGTGTCCGCAGTCTCTGGTCATCTCCTGTACTGTGTTCGCAGTCTCTGGTCATCTCCTGCACTGTGTCCACAGTCTCTGGTCATCTCCTGCACTGTGTCCGCAGTCTCTGGTCATCTCCTGTACTGTGTCCGCAGTCTCTGGTCATCTCCTGTATTGTGTCCGCAGTCTCTGGTCATCTCCTGTACTGTGTCCGCAGTCTCTGGTCATCTCCTGTACTGTCCGCAGTCTCTGGTCATCTCCTGTACTGTGTCCGCAGTCTCTGGTCATCTCCTGTACTGTCCGCAGTCTCTGGTCATCTCCTGTACTGTCCGCAGTCTCTGGTCATCTCCTGTATTGTGTCCGCAGTCTCTGGTCATCTCCTGTACTGTGTCCGCAGTCTCTGGTCATCTCCTGTACTGTGTCCGCAGTCTCTGGTCATCTCCTGTACTGTCCCGCAGTCTCTGGTCATCTCCTGGACTGTGTCCGCAGTCTCTGGTCATCTCCTGTACTATGTCCGCAGTCTCTGGTCATCTCCTGTACTGTGTCCGCAGTCTCTGGTCATCCCCTGTACTGTGTCCGCAGTCTCTGGTCATCTCCTGTACTATGTCCGCAGTCTCTGGTCATCTCCTGTACTATGTCCGCAGTCTCTGGTCATCTCCTGTACTATGTCCGCAGTCTCTGGTCATCTCCTGTACTGTGTCCGCAGTCTCTGGTCATCTCCTGTACTGTGTCCGCAGTCTCTGGTCATCTCCTGTACTGTCCGTCAGTCTCTGGTCATCTCCTGGACTATGTCCGCAGTCTCTGGTCATCTCCTGTACTATGTCCGCAGTCTCTGGTCATCTCCTGTACTGTGTCCGCAGTCTCTGGTCATCTCCTGTACTGTGTCCGCAGTCTCTGGTCATCTCCTGTACTATGTCCGCAGTCTCTGGTCATCTCCTGTACTATGTCCGCAGTCTCTGGTCATCTCCTGTACTATGTCCGCAGTCTCTGGTTATCTCCTGTACTGTGTCTGCAGTCCATTGGTTCAGAATATTTTTTTTTCTTGTTTTTCGCCTCTAAAACCTAGGTGCGTCTTATGGTCAGGTGCGTCTTATGGTCAGGTGCGCCTTATGGAGCGAAAAATACGGTAACCACTTCAATGTCTGGACACTTTCACCCCCATTCCCTGTCCAGGCCAATTTTCAGCTTTCACCCCCTTCCAGTCCAGGCCTCTAGGATACAAATGTAACAATTTACGGATGTTTATATGCAGGATCTTGCTGTGCAGAAAAACACAATTTCTCCTTAACCACTTCATGTCCGGACACTTTTACCCCTTTCCTGTCCAGGCCAATTTTCAGCTTTTAGCACTATCACACTTTGAATGACAATTGCGCGGTCATGCAACACTGTACCCATATGAATTTTTTAGCATTTTTGTGAGACAGATAAAACTTTATTTTGGTGGTATTTACTCACTGGGACTGGGATTTTTGCAAAAATAAATAATCTTTCTTCATAAATCTTAGCCAAAATGTATTCAGTTATCTTTTTAGTTAAAAAAAAAAAAAAAATAACCCAAATTAGTTTATAACCAAAAATTATAATTTTTCAAAAAATTTTTTTTTACATTTTTATATTATTATTTATATTCTTTTAAAAATACTGTTACCCTAGCAGTACAGTGTCACTGTAGTGACACTACTACTTGTGGGGGGTGATGAAGATTTTATTTTTTAAAACTGATTGCTTTTACACCCATAAAGGCTGTAAAATCAATAATTTCTCCTCTCCGGCTGCATTCCTGCAGCCATTGAGAACTACTGTGTGAGCTGTGATTGGTCACAGCTTGTCACATGGTACAAGGCTGTTGTGAATAGCCTTGTATCATGTGACCTCTGTGATCATTCACAGATTTCACACTTAGTAAGCAATGATGTCAGGAAGTGCCATCTTGTTTACTACTATTCACGTGATCAGTGATCACATGATCGGGACCTCACACAGAGGTCCAGTACAACGATCTGTGTCCGATCGCTGTGCCGCACACTCCCAGGGAGCACGCACAGGCAATGGATGCGGGGGGACATTTAGAAACGTCCTCCTGCATCGGCAGCGCTCCCATCCGGCTGTTTATCGATATGGGCAGGACGGGAAAAGGTTAAAAGATGAATAAAGTGCTTTAGTTTTTATAATGCTACTACCTTAACTTTCGAAATCAAAGCCAGTGTCAATATGGGTTTCAGAAAGGGTTGTCACCCTTTATTTTTTATTGCCCTATGGTACAGCAAGGTGAGGGCATTAGGAGTGAATGTGCGTCACGTTACACACTTCTTGGCATATTAGCTGCAAATGTAACCGTTTGGTAGGAGTCCCTCTTCAGGCACCTTGAAGTGACTTACCCAGACCGCACTCTCCGACGGCTACAACTTTTTCTCTGTTGTCTTCTATCAGTTTCTGCAGGTTGGATAAATACCCGTCCGGATCTCCACCCTCGAACTCCCCGCACCGGGTGGGGTGGCAGCCGACCGTACTGTAAAATCGATCTGACAAGATCCCATGATTAGAAGAAACCTCCTCACTGGGGTAAGATCAGTCTGAGCAATATAGTGTATGTAAACTAATACAAATTATTTTTTGTTATAGGTTTTACATCATGCTTTATTGTATGAAGTGGAGTGGAAAACAGTTTTTTTTTTAATTGCAAAGCTTCTTACTAGAGATCCTGCCAGTAATGGCACTTTCCAATGCAAGCAGACAACATAAATCCATTGGCTCGCAATTAACAGCAGTGTTTCTGTGCACACTCCTTTAGGGAGCCATTGAGCTACTAGGTCTTCACATGCCTCCTGGAGACCTGATAGGCAGCTCAATGGTCAACTGAAGGGGTGAGCAGATGTGTGTATGCTGTAACGAATTACAAAGAAAACCTTTAAAAATATGCAGTTTATATCTAAAACACATGCAGAGTTCTCTGTTGTAACGGAACCGACTCAGACTGCGCTTGAAACTTCCGTTAGAATACTGCTTCCCCCGTCCCGAACACCGACAACAGACACCACAGCCGACCATACAAGACTAGACGACACCAGTCTTGAAGTAAACCAGGAGGTACACTAGTTTATTTGAACACAGATACAAGATATATATGCTCAGGGGCAATCCCCCCTCCCTGCATAATGACACAGGGTGGGGCAATCTACATTTAATAACAAGAGACACACAGGTATTCCAACTTCACACCAGCAGACAGTCCCATCAGGAGGGAGGGCTGCTGGAGACACCCCCCCACTAAGCTAATACACATAAACACATACATCCCATAATAGTTTGCTCCCAAACAATAGAACAATGGGATGCAGCCACATAACATCAAACAATCAACAACCCCACACAATATTAGGACATATCACCCTGTACCCCTAACAGGCACAGGGTGATTTACACATAAGAGGGATATGGGGAGCTGAGACAGGGGTCTCCCCAGCTCTCCAAAGTGAGCTGGGTTCCATGGGCCCCCCACCCAAAGTGACGCCTGTCGCATCTGTGTTTTATCCCATTAAAAATGCTGCAAGTTCAGAAAAACACCCATTGATCTGCCAGAAATCCAGTGTGCACCCGACTCTCTGTTTACGCTTTCAACACAATTCCTCTGCTGCACTGAATTCCCCACCAGAGTAGTCAGCCCTGCCTGATGGACTACAGAACTAAGACTGAAGAAGTGTGTGAGTATAACCTACGCAGAGGACTAATCAATTAGACTGGCTGCTGCTAGCAAAATCACAAATGTGTACCGGTGAACAAATGTGAGTGCAAACATAAGAATTGCTGCGTTGCCTCTCCCAAAAACTACTTTAAATAATTAATAAATAAATGAATGCACCCCCTACTACACAAAGAGTCCCCACAAATGTGCATGTGCTATAATAGCAGGCTGACAATGATGCTCCTGATGACGTCATATGACGAAACATGTAGGGCGGGGCTTGATAGCACTATATTTGTCCTCTAGGAAGTAATTGCTTTTTGCTGCCAACTGGCAGGAGTCTTCCCCACCCCATTCACACTTTATCATCCATCCAGCCAAACTCCGGTTGTTAAAGAGAACAAGAATGAATATTTTCCATAATCTTAATCTGAAATATCAAGTTGATATACAGCTTTCAAGCATGGGTAGGTGTCCTGTTATTTGCTTGTATGCTCTCCCTGTCAGAGCAGAGGTGTTGGTTGTTAAGAAACCACAAAGACAGGTTGTTAGGAATGTTTGGCATAAGCATGACTTTTAGGATTCTAAACTATGTTGGGCCCCCTTGTAAAGGTTTTTAATGGGAATCAGCCTGCTCTGTTGCCTCGGTCAAGAATGTGATCAAGCCTGATAAAATGACAATTAGATTGTCTGCTGAATCATATATTTAGCATGTGAGGCTCCATAACATTTATTTGCAATCATCTTAAAGTGGAGGTCGAGTCAGAATTGAAAAAAATAAAAGTCAGCAGCTACAAAAAAAAAAAACTGTAGCTGCTGACATTTAAAAAAAAAAAAAAGACACTTACCTGTCCCACCGTTCCGCGGTGTACTCACACCGGCCGGGCTGACTGAACATCCGGTCTGCTCGGCACCGGCATCTGTGTGGGCACCCATCTGTGACAGCTTGCGGCTTAGCAGCTGAGTGCCCATTGGCATTTGTGTGAGTAGCACTGCGCTTTGTGAATGGTTCTGTTGTCTTCTGGGACATGTCACAGGTCCCAGAAGACTACAGGGAAGGGAGTTATAACTTCCGTTTATGATCGCCTAGACGATCGCAGCGGAAGTGGGAGCGGGTATTTGTCAAATTTGGGTACCCCCTCCCCCCCACTCCCCAAAGCTGCCAATCCTTAACGGGGAGCGGGGAACAAAGTGTTAAAGCGGAACTTCCCCTTTTAGATGAAGCTCCGCTTTTAATTGGTTCTAAAGGCTGAAGGTTTTTTTCTTTTTTTACCATCATGTATTCTATGCATGAAGGTAAAACAACAGTCTGTGTGCAGCAGCGTTTCCAGCCCCCCCTAATACTTACCTGAGCCCAATCTTGATGCACGAGAGCAGCGACTCCACCAGTTCTCTCACTCGCTATTGATTCAGACACAGAAGCTGGAACCACTGGCTCCCGCTGCTGTCAATCACAGCCAATGAGAAGGGAGCAGGGGGTTGTGGCTGAGCCGCACTCTGTGTGTCTATCGATACACAGAGTGGGGATCGGGAGCAGGGAAGCACGAGTGCGCCCATATCAAGCAGCTTTTTATGGGGGCACTTGTCGAGAGGGAGGAGCCAGGAGTCCTGTCGGGGGACTCAAAAAGAAGAGGTTCCAGATTTCTCTGTGCAAAACCATTGCACAGAGCAGGTATGATATGTTTGTTGTTTTAAAAAATATATTTTTAGTATTATTTTAAAAAGCTAATTTTATTTAAAAAATACATTTTCTTTTTTATATATTATTCTAATATTCTGTTTCTCCCAATGAAAACAGAACAATACATTACATACCCTGTCTCTTCTCTCAGAAGCTCTGTCTGAGCTGCCAGAGGAGAGTTAAATTAATAATTAGTTATCTTTTATTTACTTCTAACAGATAGGGATGGGAAGATTGGTAGTTGTTATCCCTAAAAAAGAAAACTAATGCAGCCACAAAAATCTAAAGACTTGTAAGCTGCAATATATTACGTTTTGTACTTTGGTTTAGTTATCTTTTCAGAATCAGAAAATGTATTGTCATTTTACAATAACAATCATAAAATTAAACACAGTTGTAGCTCCCTCACATTAAAAAAACAAATTCCACACTCAACATAAAAACACTTAACTAAAAACAACATAAATGCTGTAATAAAAACATAATTCCCAATCCAATTATTCCACAAGACCAGGGGTCTCCAAACTTTCTAAACAAAGGACTGGTTTACTGTCCTTCAATCTTTAGGGGGCTGGACTGTGGCCAGTGGGAGAAGAAAATGTCCTGGCATCAGTGGGAATAAACAATGCCCCATCTTTGGTATTTGGGGGAGTAATAGTGCCCCATCATTGGTGTCAGTGAGAGGAATAGTGCCCCGTCATTGGTATCAGTGGGAGGAATAGTGTCCCATCATTGGTGTCAGTGAGAGGAATAGTGCCCCATCATTGGTGTCAGTGAGAGGAATAGTGCCCCATCATTGGTATCAATGGGAGGAATAGTGCCCCATCTTTGGTATTAGGGGGAGTAATAGTGCCCCATCATTGGTATCAGTGGGAGGAATAGTGCCCCATCATTGGTATCAGTGGGAGTAATAGTGTCCCATCATTGGTATCAGTGGGAGGAATAATGCCCCATCATTGGTATCAGTGGGAGAAATAGTGCCCCATCATTGGTATCAGTGGGAGGAATAGTGCCCCATCTTTGGTATCAGTGGGAGGAATAGTGCCCCATCATTGGTATCAGTTGGAGGAATAGTGCCCCATCATTAGTATCAATGGGAGGAACAGTGCCCCATCATTGTTGTCAATGGGAGATATAGTGCCCCATCATTGGTTTCAGTGGAAGGAATAGTGCCCCATCACTGATGTCTGTAGGAGAAATAGTGCTCCATCATTCATTTCTGTGGAGGAAAAGTGCCCCATCATTGGTATCAATGGAAGGAAAAGTGCCCCATCATTGGTGTCAATGGGAGAAATAGTGCCCCATCATTGGTGTCAGTGGAAGGAATAGTGCTCCATCATTGATGTCTGTGGAGGGAATAGTGCCCCATCATTGGCATCAATGGGAGGAAAAGTGCCCCATCATTGGTATCAATGGAAGAAGTAGTGCCCCATCATTAGTGTCAATGGGAGGAATGGTGCCCCATCATTGGTATCAGTGAGAGAAATAGTTCCCCATTGTTAGTATCAACAGGAGAAATAGTGCCCCATCATTGGTGTCAATAGGAAGAATAGTGCCCAATTTGTGATGTCAGTGGGAGAAACTATGCCACACTGTGGCTTGCAATGGCAGGAATAATGCCTCGAGGGCCAGATAAAAGCAAGCAAAGGGCCACATCTTGGCCCTGGGCCACACTTTGGAGACCACTGCACAAGACCTCTAGCATTTAAGAGGCACACAGATCGAGGAAAGACGCTATTCCGCAACCTGGTGGTGCAGGAGCCAATTTTAAATGTCTGATAACAGACCTGAATGTAGGCAGAAGACAGAGCAGCCATTTATGGAGCATTACAGCCTAACATTTTGACAGGGATAGAATACAAGTAAATAATCGGAAGCTCTGTGAGAGGAGGGTCTGCTCATATAACAAATGAAGAGTGGACATTCAGACTGGTTCTCATTAGCACACTGTAATTGATTGCATGCACTGTGTAAGTCTATAGGAGAAGCAATAAGGACTGATACCATTGGTCCGGGCAAGTTCGATCGCTTCTTTGCTCTCCTGCAGGTTTCCTCCAGTAATCATAAACTGAAAAATAAAAGATGACATTTTATTTCTATGATAGTCAGCTGTGATGCAGAATTATTCACTATCAGATATATTAAAGCAGACCAACTGAACAATCACGTCCCCTGACCATCTGCTGAATATCCTACCATTTCTAGAATTGTAAATGGATAAACAAAAGCCACGATCGATTGTGATCACAACTGATTTATCTATATTTAAAGCGGTATTAAACCCGGAACCAAAAATGTAATGTATTGCAGCTTACCAGTCATTAGATGTGTTGACTGCATTAGTTTTCCTTTTTTTGTAAGCCTTTCCCCTATGTTTTCACCTGGTGATCTGGCCAGTAACACACCTCCTGTACTAGAGTGCCCCCACTCTGGATGAAGGAGCACAGGGGCAGATTTGGACAGCAGCATTGTCAGTCTGGAGGAAGGGGAGTGTAAGATATACTAGCAGATTTAAATACACAAGCCAAATTTCAGCTAATACCTTTTATGCAGCTAAGGCAAACATTTTTTTTTCCTTTTGGGATAAAGGTTTTATTTAAATAAAAACTGATCACTGTAAGCACCCCTGCTGGTGGTAAATGGTTTGTCTCATCCCTGTAACTGATACATCTGCAAGAGAGCTTGTTCTTTTGAAAAACAGCAAACTTTCTGGCCAGATCCCCTGTTGAAAACAGAAAAAAAAAAAGAAAGCCTGAAAATGAATGCAGCCATCACACTTAACCACTTCCCTTCCAGAAGTTGTATATAACCAGCTGGACGGTGGCAGTGCAGGGGCGGGTGCCCGTTTATAAACGGCCACCCCACCCCCTGCTTGTGCGTGCTCCCTGGGAGCGCGCAGCACCCCGATCCAGTGCCCGCTGTGTCCTCCAGACACAGTGGAACACCGATCGTTGTACGGGACCTCTGTGCAAGGTCCCGATCATGTGATCACTGATTGGCCAATCAGTGATCACACGAAGAGTAGTAAGCAAGATGTCACTTCTGACATCATTGCTTACTACGTGTGAAATCTGTGAATGATCACAGAGGTCACATGGTACAATGCTATTCACAACAGCCTTGTACCATGTGACAAGCTGTGACCAATCACAGCTCACACAGTACTTCTCAATGGCTGCAAGAATGCAGCCAGAGAGAAGGAGAAATTATTGCTTTTACAGCCTTTATGGGTGTAAAAGCAATCGGTGTAAAAAAAAAATTCTTTATAACCCCCCACAAGTAGTACAGTGTCACTATGGTGACACTGCACTACTAGGGTGACAGTATGTAAAAAAAAAAAAAACAAATAATAATATAAAAAAAAAATAAAAATGTAAAAAATGTTTTAAAAAAAATTATAATTTTTGGTTATAAACTAATTTGGATTATTTGTTTTACTAAAAGATAACTGAATCAATTTTGGCCAAGATTTATGAAGAACGATTATTTATTTGCAAAATTTTATAAGAAAACACTTTTTTTTCAAAATCCTTGGACTTTTTCATTTATATAGCAAAAAAAATAAAAATCCCAGTGGTAAATAAATACCACCAAAATAAAGCTTTATCTGTCTAAAAAAAAATGCAAAAAAATTCATATGGGTACAGTGTTGCATGACGGTGCAATTGTCATTCAAAGTGTGATAGTGCTGAAAACTGAAAATTTTCCTGGACAGGAAGAGGATGAAAGTGTCCGGACTTGAAGTGGTTAAGAAATGGCAAGCTGCAATATAATAAATGTTTGTTTTTGGGTTTAATATTGCTTTTTAAAGGGATTCGGGAATCACAGTCTCAGCAAAAGCCTAAAAGTAAGGAGGGAGGGGAGCATTCATCCACATACAGTTGCAAGAAAAAGTATGTGAACCCCTTGGGATTACGTGGAGTTTTGCATGAATTGGGCATAAAATGTGCTCTGAACGTCATCTAAGTCACAACAATAGAAGAACACAGTCTGCTGAACATAATACTACACAAACATTAGATGTTGCCATGGTTTAATTGCACATAACATGTAAACATTCACAGTGCAGGAAGGAAAAAAGTATGTGAGGCCCTAGCTTAATGACTTCTCCCAGAGCTAATTGGAGCCAGGAGTGAGCCAACCTTGACTCCAACCAGTGTGATGATATTGGATGTGTTGCTGACAGCTGTCCTGCCCTTAAAAAACACACACCTGTTTTGGGTTTACTGGTTTCAAGAAGCACTGTCTGATGTGAACCATGCCTCGCAGAAAAGAGCTCTCAGAAGACCTACCATCAAGAATTGTTGACTTGCATGAAGCTGGAAAGGGTTACAAAAGTATCTCCAAAAGCCTTGATGTTCATGTGTCCATGGTAAGACAGACTGTCTACAAATGGAGAAAGTTTTGCACTGTTGCTACTCTCCCTAGGCGTGGTCGTCCTGTAAAAATGACTGCAAGAGCACAGCGCAGAATGCTGCATGAGGTAAAGAAGAATCTCAGTGTCAGCTAAAGACCTACAGAAATCTCTGGCACATGCTAACATTTTTGTTGACACATCTACAATAAGGAAAACATTAAACAAGAATGGAGTACATGGGAGGACACCACGGAGGAAGCCATTGCTGTCCAAAAAGAATATTGCAGCACGTTTGAAGTTTGCAAAAAAGCACCTGGATGTTCCACAGCACTACTGGCAAAATATACTGTGGACAGATGAAACCAAGATTGAGTTGTTTGGGAAGAACACACAACACTATGTGTGGAGAAAAAAAGGCACAGCACACCAACATCAAAACCTCATCCCCACTGTAAAACATGGCGGAGGGAGCATCATGGTTTGGGGCTGCTTTGCTGCCTCAGGGCCTGGATGGATTGTTGTCATTGATGGGAAAATGAATTCCAGAGTTTATCAAGACATTTTGCAGGAAAACGTACAACCATCTGTCCGCCAACTGAATCTCCGCAGAGGATGGGTGATGCAACAGGACAATGACCCAAAGCATACAAGTAATTCAACAAAACAATGGCTGCAACAGCACAGAATACGCCTTCTGGAGTGGCCCAGTCAGAGTCCTGACCTCAACCCGATTGAAATGCTGTGGCATGATCTTAAGAGAGCCATTCACACCAGACATCCCAAGAATATTGCTACACTGAAACAGTTTTGTGAAGAGGAGTGGTCCAAAATGACTCCAGATCATTGTGCAGGTCTGATCTGCAACTACAGGAAACGTTTGGTTGAGGTTATTGCTGCCAAAGGAGGGTCAACCAGTTATTAGGTCCAAAGGTTCACATACTTTTTCCTCCCTGCACTGTGAATGTTTACATGTTATGTGCAATTAAACCATGGCAACATCTAATGTTTGTGTAGTATTATGTTCAGCAGACTGTGTTCTTCTATTGTTGTGACTTAGATGACGTTCAGAGCACATTTTATGCCCAATTCATGCAAAACTCCACGTAATCCCAAGGGGTTCACATACTTTTTCTTGCAACTGTATATGATAGCTGTGTCTCAGTATTTCTTGGTTTGGGTAACAAAGGAATATTTTAAAATGAAAGTGTTTGTGTGGGCAAAACCATATCTAGCAGATCTCTACAATGCATAATTCTCCATGTTTTGTCTCTTTACAGATGCTGCAAATACAGAAAATATCTGTTGATCTACCAGGAATCAAGTAAACTTTTCATTTTCTGTAGTGAGCTCCTAATGCTGCCTTTGAATTCTCCCCTGCTGAACTACAGAACACCATTCTCCAGGGCTGACAACACTGCTTTGGATTTCAGTGCAGCCAAGGCACTGTGTTGTCAGCTCAAATAAAAAGTTAGGAGGTCACTGATTTCTAGCAGACCAACAGGTATTTTTATGTACTTTCTGCATTTATTAGGGGATACATCATGTATATTATATAGGTGTACTCAGAGGCGTATTTACCACAAAGCAAACAAGGCATTTGCCTAGGGCAGCATTTTTTCAAGGGGGCAGCAGCATTTTCCAGGGGGGCAGCTCCGCCCCCCCCAAAAGAAGGGTTGGAAAAAGTGAAACACGCAGCATGGGGACCAGGTGGGATCTGAGAGAGGCTGCGGGCTTCTTGATGGTGTATGCAGAGCCTGACTCTTGTTTCCAGGGATGTCTGAACCTGTGAAGGTAAGTGTCTTCTCTCTCTCGCCAGGGTGGGGGTTGTCAGAGTATGGGGGGGGCAGTGGTAGTGAAAGGCTCTCTTGGGTGGGGGGAGGGCTGAAGTGTTGTTGGTCAATGTCAGGCTCTCTTCATGGGGGAGGGAGGTGTTGGTCGGTGTCAGGGTCTCTCCGTGGTGGTGGGGGGGAGATAATTTTTGTATTGCCTAGGGCAGCACGAATCCTAAATACAGCACTGGGTGTACTGAATATGTTTTTTTCATTTCCTAGGCATACACTTTAAATTAAAAGGTCAGTCCATCCAAAACTGATATGTTCCATTCTTTGAATACACTGGGGAGACAGATCTTTTTTACACTATCAGGGATTTTGGTGGAAACATCTCCCCTTACGATCCTGGGTCTGCCTACCTGTCTGGGGCACCAATGGGGTACCAATATCCTTGGTGGATTGTTTTTAAATGTATTTTATATTACAGACCCCCCCCCCCCCCCCCCCCCCCCCCCCCCCCCCCCCCCCCCCCCCCCCCTGGGAACAACAGCAGAAGTGTTAACAGCCATACTACAGGGAGGATCCAAAGGTGACAAAAATGCATCTGGTATCTATGGAAAGGAGATCTCACCTCTAGAGCCCTTTAAATCCCAATTTAAAGTGGAGCTCCACCCAAAAGGGGAAGTCCCGCTTTGAGCCTTAGTCCCCCGTTCCCAGTTAAGGATTGAAAAACGGGTGGGCGGGGGAGGGTGTGTCAGGTACCCAAATTTCAAATTTGACAGGTACCCGCTCCCACTTCCGCTGTGATCGCCTAAGGTGATTGGAAGCAAACGTTGCCCCCCCTCCCTCCGCGTAGTCTTCTGGGACACGTGACAGGTCCCAGAAGACTACGGGGCCATTCAGGAAGTGCAGCAATAATCATGCATGGGCACAAGCTGTCACAGCCGCGCGCCCCACAGTGAAGATGCCGGAGAGAGAAGACATCTGGTGAAACCAGCCGTGGTGAGGGCGGAGTTGGACCGAGGGACAGGTAGTGAATGCAGGGTCCGGGGAGACCAGATATAGTGAATGCAGGGTCCGGGGAGACCGGATATAGTGAATGCAGGGTCCGGGGAGACCGGATATAGTGAATGCAGGGTCCGGGGAGACCAGGTATAGTGAATGCAGGGTCCGGAGAGACCAGATATAGTGAATGCAGGGTCCGGGGAGACCAGATATAGTGAATGCAGTGTCCGGGGAGACCAGATATAGTGAATGCAGGGTCCGGGGAGACCAGATATAGTGAATGCAGGGTCCGGGGAGACCAGATATAGTGAATGCAGGGTCCGGGGAGAGCAGATATAGTGAATGCAGGGTCCGGGGAGAGCAGATATAGTGAATGCAGGGTCCGGGGAGACCAGATATAGTGGATGCAGGGTCCTGGGAGACCGGATATAGTGAATGCAGGGTCCTGGGAGACCAGATATAGTGGATGCAGGGTCCGGGGAGACCGGATATAGTAAATGCAGGGTCTGGGGAGACCGGATATAGTGAATGCAGGGTCCGGGGAGACCAGGTATAGTGAATGCAGGGTCCAGGGAGACCAGATATAGTGAATGCAGGGTCCAGGGAGACCAGATATAGTGAATGCAGGGTCCTGGTAGACCAGATATAGTGAATGCAGGGTCCGGGGAGACCAGATATAGTGAATGCAGGGTCCGGGGAGACCAGATATAGTGAATGCAGGGTCCGGGGAGACCAGATATAGTGAATGCAGGGTCCGGGGAGACCGGATATAGTGAATGCGGGGTCCTGGGAGACCAGATATAGTGAATGCAGGGTCCGGGGAGACCGGATATAGTGAATGCAGGGTCCTGGGAGACCGGATATAGTGAATGCAGGGTCCGGGAGACCAGATATAGTGAATGCAGGGTCCGGGGAGACCAGATATAGTGAATGCAGGGTCCGGGGAGACCAGATATAGTGAATGCAGGGTACGAATGTGCAGTTCAATAGGCACGGGTTAGACACTGTGTACTTAGTAATCAGCACCCAGTATATCAGAAATGGTCAGACACCCCTCTACAATACAAATCTGGATGAGGACACTTGTGGTGAAGGGTAATATCTTACCTTCTGCACGCCAATCTTCACAGCTCGTTCAATAATGTCAGCAAAGTCATCTGTCACATTAATATAAAGATAAAGTTAGCTAATTATCAAAATTTGCACAGTGTCTTCATTGCAGTCCGTACACACTGAACCTTCTGCATCACTCAAACCACACTGGAGGCGCATTAAAGGAAAACTCTAGTTTCATTTTACATATTTGTGTTAGTTACTGTTGTTAAAAATTTATAGCCAGCTATGACTTTTGAAAAATCCCTAATAACGTCAAACTTCTCTTTCTTCCAAAACCCATATGGAAGAAAAATATATTTGAAATATATTTAAAAATATATTCTTCCCAAATATATTGACATATATTTGAAATGCTACAATGCTGGCCATATTCAATATATTTCAAAATATATTTCAATAAATATGTGTATATATATATATATATATATATATATATATTATATTTATTTATTATGTTGAAATGCATTTTTATTGCAAAATATATGAAAAAATATTTTTAAAAATACATTTCAAATATACTATATGCCTTTAAAAATACAAATCTACATTTTTAGAATGCATTTGCAAATATATGTAAAAATATATGTTAAAATGACTTTGTTAAAAAAAATCTGAAGAATATATTTAAAAAAAATATTTCTCATATATTTTTGTAATAAAAACTGTATAAATAAATACAGTATGTTGAAATGCGTTTTTATTACAAAATATATGAGAAATATTTTTTTTAAAATATATTCTTCAGATTTCTTTTTAACATATAAAAAAGTCATTTTAACATATATTTTTACATATATTTGTAAATGCATTCCAAAAATTTAGATTTGTATTTTTAAAGGCACACAGTATATTTGAAATGTATTTTTAAAAATATTTTTCATATATTTTGTAATAAAAACACATTTCAACATACAGTATATATATATATATATATATATATATAGTTTTTGAACTATATTTTGAAATATAAACGTACGTATAGCAAGAGCTCCAAATATTTACATAAATAAGATTATAAATAATTATAAATAAATAAGTATCCAGCAGCAATGTGCACCGACATAGGATATCCTAAAAACCCAGTGTAAGCAAATATAGATAAATAGGTGCGGCGCTAAAAATCAATCAGATAAAACATAAAGTTACTCCACATTAATATGTATACAGTGCTGTTACACCAATTGAAGATATAGAAGCACAGTCTAATTATGTGTGAGAAAGTGTGAAGGCTTGACTCCAAAGGGTCAGAATAAACAGATAGTGAAATCCAACTTCATTACTAATAAGTCCTCGTGCTGTGACTCCGTGCACCAATCTTATAAAATGCGCACTCACCAGATGCACATGGAATTTGTGCATTAAACATGAAATATCTGCGGGGTCCCCCCTATGTTATTACTATTTATTGATGTGCACTTTATTTCCTCAATGTTTGAGGATATTTTGGTGGGCTTTTAATATATTTTGGAGGACTTTAATAGATTTGTAAAGACGTTTGATCCACAATAAATGTAATTACTTTTAAATACTACACTATAAGCCTTTTTTATATATTATTATTATACAGGATTTATATAGCGCCAACAGTTTGCTCAGCGCTTTACAATATAATGGGAGACAATACAGTAACAATACAGTTCAATACAAGAGGGATTTAAGGGCCCTGCTCCTTGGAGCTTACAATCTAGGAGATGGCTTGGTTCTGAGCCAATTTGCTCGTGGAGACCCCCAAAGGAAGAGTGGCTGCACAAGAGGCTGGTGTCCGGATGTAGGATCCTATACTCCTGGCTGGCTGATCAGTCTAAAGGGGGACCCCGCAGAGATTTCATGTTTAATGCACAAATTCCATGTGCATCTGGTGAGTGCGCATTTTATAAGATTGGTGCACGGAGTCACAGCACGAGGACATATTAGTAATGAAGTTGGATTTCACTATCTGTTTATTCTGACCCTTTGGAGTCAAGCCTTCACGTTTTCTCACGCATAATTAGACTGTGCTTCTATATCTTCAGTTGGTGCAACAGCACCATATACATATTAATGTGAAGTAACTTTATGTTTTATCTGATTGATTTTTAGTGCTGCACTTGTTTATCTATATTTTGAAATATATTGAATATGGCCAAAATTGTAGCATTTCAAATATATGTCAATATATTTGGGAAGAATATTTTTAAAATATATTTCAAATATATTTTTCTTCCATGTGGGAAATTCCCCCAAATCCACACCACCTTGCTCCTGTGAGTTGTTCATTACTTCTCAGGCCTCCGCACAGAAATCAAACTCAAGTTACTAGCATACTTTGACATGTCCTTGGGCATTCTGGAGGGAGGCTGGAGGTGCAATGTTCCTTATTACGCCTCTAAGATTAAAGCTGAACTCCAGCCTTCCTTTCAGTTTTGCACAGTTGTACAGGATCCTCTGCTGGACTGAAACGGCTTACTCTGATTTCACTGCACACTGTGGGCTTCTCAAAATGTGCATCAGAAGCTGCAGTCAGATAGAGCCAGCCTCTTTTACTGCCTGAAGGACATCCAGCATCATCTAGTGCTTTCCACTCCTGCCTTACTGTCCTCACCCCCCCCCCCCCCCCCCTTTCATTCATTGGATGGGGGTGTTACCTAGGCTGCCCTGGAATGCCCAGCTACTTGAGACTAACACCGACCCATCCAGGCATTTTATTATTTGCATAATTCCTCCCAAGAGTCAGCCTTCTCCTTGCATCAGGGCTGCGGGCTCCTGAGAGGAGTACTGATGCAGGGTGCTGGGATGTTTTTAGGAAGCTATACACCACACACTGCCGAACCCTCCCACCAGCATAGTGAAGCACAGAGACCCAGTGATTATATCACCAGCTGTCTGTAGATGGTGAAGCACAATTTATTGATTTCCCTCATCCTGATTCAGGACGAGGGAAATCAATAAATTGTGCTTCACCTTCTACAGATACATCAAGAAGCAAGAGGAAATCTCACCAAAGCAACAGGATATCACCGGTGGAATATTTGCTGTCATCTCCTGTTTCTAAGACAACTCTAAGAGTTAGGAATAGTTAGGAACCCATTTGGTCTTACGGTACACGCTCCCGTCTTGAGAGATACCGAAGACCATCTGGTGGAGGATCCAGCACATGGTACATCTGTACAGTTGTGTTCAAAATAATAGCAGTCAGACATCACTAACCGGATCAATCACTGTTTTTGGTAGAAATGATATTTCTACATGGCAAATAATTTACTAGCAGGTGTAGTAGAGTAATAGAAATCCAACAGACCCAACAGTCATGACATGCATGCTGCTGATTCTGTGTAATTGAATCACTAATTGAAAGGGGCATGTTCAAAATAATAGCAGTGTGGAGTTCTATTAGTGAGGTCATTCATTCTTTGAAAAACAGGTGGCAATTATTGCCCTTATTTAAGGAAGGAAGGCAGCAAATGTTGTTCATGCTGGTTACAGTGCATTTCTCTCTGAAATTCTGAGGAAAATGGGTAGTTCCAGACATTGTTCAGAAGAACAGCGTACCTTGATTAAAAAGTTGATTGGAGAAGGGAAAACATATAAAGAAGTGCAGAAAATGATAGGCTGCTCAGCTAAAATGATCGCAAATGCTTTAAAATGGCAACCAAAACCTGAAAGACGTGGAAGTAAGCGAAAAACTACCATTGGAACCGATAGAAGAATAGCCAAAATGGCAAGGACTCAGCCAACAATCAGCTCCAGGAAGATAAAAGAAGGTGTGACGTTCCCTGTGAGGACTGTTACAATTAGAAGACGCCTATGTGAAGCCAAGCTATCTGCAAGAAGCCCCCGCAAAGTCCCACTGTTGAAAAAAAGACATGTGCTGAAGAGGTTACAATTTGCCAAAGAGCACATTGACTGGCCTAAAGAGAAATGGCGCAACATTTTGTGGACTGATGAAAGGAAGATTATGTTCTTTTTGGGTCTAGTGGGCGGAGACAGTTTGTCAGACGACCCCCAAACACTGAATTCAAGCCACAGTACACTGTGAAGACAGTGAAGCATGGTGGTGCAAGCATCATGATATGGGGATGTTTCTCATACTACGGTGTTGGGCCTATTTATCGCATACCAGGGATCATGGATCAGTTTGAATACATCAGAATACTTGAAGAGGTTATGCTGCCTTATGCTGAAGAGGAAATGCCCTTGAAATGGGTGTTCCAACAAGACAACGACCCCAAACACACCAGTAAACGTGCAACATCTTGGTTCCAGACCAACAAGATTGACGTTATGGAGTGGCCAGCCCAATCCCCGGATCTTAATCCAATAGAAAACTTGTGGGGTGACATCAAAAATGCAGTTTCTGAGGCAAAACCAAGAAATAGAGAAGAACTGTGGAATGTAGTCCAATCATCCTGGGCTGGAATACCTGATCACAGGGGCCAGAAGTTGGGTGACTCCATGCAACACAGATGTACAGCAGTTCTCAGAAACAGTGCTTATACAACCAAATATTCAAACATTTTTCAGTTTATATAGTGAATGTTTGAGTTTGTAAAGAAGAATACAAACACTGCGATTTTTTTGAACCGTCTAATATTCACTTTTCTTCATTTTTTTTAGAGGAGCAACACAAATTTGATATATTTTTCTTCATGTTTTGATTTGGAATAGAATGTGTCGTGTTCCCAATGCATTTGTGTGGATGGAAATAAAAGCTATTAGAAGGATTTTGAGCTTTACTCACTTTTTTCAACACACTGCTATTATTTTGAACACAACTCTATATATGAGCGCCATTTGACTTTCTGGTCCCATACAAGAAGTCAATATCATCCGGTGCGTGTAGCGTGTGGACTGGGCACTGGAAGCTCTACTTCATTTGTGTGTTTTAAAACAATTACGGTGGTAGTAAAGTCCACTCTGTGATTTTTACCTATTGGTGAGCTTATAATAAAACTTACCTGTAGGTAAATGAATATCCTAAACATGCACCGTTTAGGAGATATTCGCTCTTTCAGCAGCTGATTACGTCACTGGTACATGTGCTCTGAAGAAACGGCATACCCGTGCCATTTCTTTGGAGCGCTGTGCCGTGGTACGTGACGTCATCGTGGCTCGGCCATTCAAGCTTCCAGAGCCCACAAACCCGGAAGAAAGACCAAGTGAAGATGGAAGCACCGACAGCAGTGACAGCGCACCACTCGATGGCTTCGTTTCAAGGTAAGGGCTCATGTACACGGGGCGTTTGGAAAGCTCTTTGAACGATGGAAACTGACTGCTTGAAAAGATAGGTTAAAAAACCTCAGTTTAGCTGCATTTGTATACCGCATTTAGAAGCGTTTTTAAAAGATAACCTCAGGAGACTTTCCCAAATGCCCAGAATGCACTGAAAAACTGTAAATATTGAACTATTTCAGACATATTGAGAGGAATAGAGAGAGCAGAAGCAGAGAGAGCAGTATGTGTTGAGATGACCTGTCTTTTCTGGTTGTATTCACTATGGATCCCATCAGAATGCGGCACGTTTTACCATTCTTTCCTTCACGCGAAACCTGAAACTGACTGCGCTGGTGTACCGGGTCCATTTGATACATGGAAAACGCTTTGCATGCATTTTTGATGATGAAAAAGGCTCTGGACAGCATCTGGATATGTCTCTCTCTCTATCCATTCAGTCGTATCCGACCCTTGGCGATTGCATGGACCGTCACTTGTAAGCAACTTTTTTCTATGAATTCTCTTAGCAATTATTTTACAGGGTAGGTTGCCAGGTTTTTCCCCAACCCCCACCATGCAGGAAAATCAGTTAAAGAATGCTTCTAAACGCAAACGCTTTTAAACGCGGTTAACCGCGTTTGTCATTTAAAACACAGGTAAAATCTACTCCTGAATGCAAGTTTTGGTGCGCTCAAAAAAACAACTTTAAACTCAACTGCCTGTACACAACTGTGTGTACATGGACACATAGGAATACATTAGGGAGAGTTCAGGGGCTGCTGAAAAAAACGCTCAACAGCTCGTGAACGTCCGTTTAGCAGCTGCACTGTACATGAGCCCTAAGTCTTTCATAATGTGCTAGTATGTGGTGCAGACTAGCACATTATGCCATTGCCTGGCAGGGGATTTTTCTTTCTTTTTTCTTTTTTTAATGCTGCAGTTTATTACTACTTTAAGTGACAGAGCACAAATATCACATGGACCTATTTTCACATTGTCTTTTTTTTTTTTTTTGGATGCTCACAAGTTATTTATTCATCATTGGAATAATGATTATAATCATAAGGTCTCAGTTTGTTTTGGTTTTATTTCTACCCGAGTCATAGTTACATAGTCAGTAAGGTTGAATAAAGACACCAGTCTGTCCAGTTCAACCTGTGCGGGTGTGTGCGCTCATGTCAAAAATCCTATCCCATATCCCTGTATATTGTGCTTGCTAAGATGCCCATCTAAGGGTTTTTTGAAATATCAATAATTCCTGCTGGCACTACTGATTGTGCAAGTGAGTTCCACATCCTTACTGCCCAGACATTAAAAAAAAAACCCTGTTGGGGAGATTTCCCCTCAATTGTTGTCAAAGGGACAGCAAGTGAGGGAAGATTTCCCAATGGGATCAAAGACAGAAAAACACCTGACAAAAATTCTAACCATTGCCTTAGTATGTTAAATGATAATGATGATGATAAATGAAAATTGAAGCCAACGTAACAAATAAATTTGCAGCTAAATGTGAAAACTCAGAGACCCCGGCCCCTGAGATATCAATGAAAGAAACCCCCCAACCCCTGAGATAAAGAATTTCTTTTATTCAATGTTTTTGACACGTGGCTGCCTCTAATACAGGCCCTATATGGGCCCCATGGTATTGAGGGTTATATTTTATTTTGACAAATGCATTGCTTTATGTTTACCTTGATGCTTTTTTGTTCCTCTATAAATGCCTCTAAACATTGGATCTGTCAGATTTATCCCGATATCTAGAACAAAAGCAGAAATAACTAAAGAAATGGAAGCACTCTTATTCATGAATAAAATTTATGACATTAATTATTCATCTCAATTCATTTGTTGATCCTTCCTCCCTCCTCCTGCCTATGGATAGCACAGATACACCATCTCATCAGCGCAATGCCCATAGGGTTTCTATAATCCTTGTGACCAATCTATAGCTTATAGCAAATAACAATATTATCAGGGTGGACAAATGACAGTATAATGGGTAAAAAGATAATCCAATCTAATAGAGATTGTAAATATATATTGTAACATGGGGTCAGCTTTATTCCAATTGTATAGGGGAAGTGTGCGAAGTGCAGCTCAGCAGTCTAGAGAGTGTAGATTGGTTATACAGTCCCTACATTCAAACATGGTGGAGGGTCACTGATGTTTTGGGGTTGCTTTGCTGCTTCAGGCACTTGATGTCTTAACTGTGTGCATGGCATTATGAAATCTGAAGACTACCAAAGAATTCTGGGGTGCAATGTAGGGCCCAGTGTCACAATGGTGGGTCTCTGTCAGAGGTCATGGGTCTTACAACAGGACAATGACCCAAAGCACATGTCAAAAAGTACCCAAAAATGGTTTCAGACAAAGCGCTGGAGAGGACTGAACTGGCCAGCAATGAGGCCAGATCTCAATCCCACAGAGCACCTGGGGAGAGATCTCAAAACAGCAGTTGGGAAAAGGAACCCTTTCAATCTGAAAGACCTGGAGCATTTGGTGAAAGAAGAGTGGTCCAAAATTCCGGTAGAGAGGTGTGCTACCAAATATTCAATTGAGGGTGCCAGTAATTTTGTCCAGTCTATTTTTGGGGGTTTTCGTGGAATGTGTCAGATTTGGCTTTTTGTTTTGCCACTTTTTTTGTGTCATACCAATAAAAACAAAAGAAATAAACATGGGAATGCCTAAACATTGTAATTGCAACAGTTTTTTGGGTGAAGTGGTGCATTATCTGACAGAGGAATACACTGAGGAATGCGATGCTGGTACTTGGAGAACCTCTACACTGAGGAATGCGATGCTGGTACTTGGAGAACCTCTACACTGAGGAATGTGATGCTGGTACTTGGAGAACCTCTACACTGAGGCATGCAATGCAGGTACTTGGAGAACCTCTCCACTGAGGAATGCGATGCTGGTACTTGGAGAACCTCTACACTGAGGAATGCGATGCTGGTATTTGGAGAACCTCTACACTGAGGAATGCGATGCTGATACTTGGAGAACCTCTACACTGAGGAATGCGATGCTGGTACTTGGAGAACCTCTACACTGAGGAATGCGATGCTGGTACTTGGAGAACCTCTACACTGAGGAATGCGATGCTGGTACTTGGAGAACCTCTACACTGAGGAATGCGATGCTGGTACTTGGAGAACCTCTACACTGAGGAATGCGATGCTGGTATTTGGAGAACCTCTACACTGAGGAATGCGATGCTGATACTTGGAGAACCTCTACACTGAGGAATGCGATGCTGGTACTTGGAGAACCCCTACACTGAGGAATGCGATGCTGGTACTTGGAGAACCTCTACACTGAGGAATGCGATGCTGGTACTTGGAGAACCTCTACACTGAGGAATACAATGAGGAATGCGATGCTGGTACTTGGAGAACCTCTACACTGAGGAATGCAATGCTGGTACTTGGAGAACCTCTACACTGAGGAATGCGATGCTGGTACTTGGAGAACCTCTACACTGAGGAATTCTATGCAGGTATTTGGATAACCTCCACACTGAGGAATACAATGAGGAATGCGATGCTGGTACTTGGAGAACCTCTACACTGAGGAATGCGATGCTGGTACTTGGAGAACCTCTACACTGAGGAATGCGATGCTGGTACTTGGAGAACCTCTACACTGAGGAATGCTATGCAGGTACTTGGATAACCTCTACACTGAGGAATACAATGAGGAATGCGATGCTGGTACTTGGAGAACCTCTACACTGAGGAATGCGATGCTGGTACTCGGAGAACCTCTCTACACTGAGGAATGTGATGCTGGTACCTGGAGAACCTCTACACTGAGGAATGCGATGTTGGTACTTGGAGAACCTCTACAATGAGGAATGCTATGCAGGTACTTGGATAACCTCTACACTGAGGAATGCGATGCTGGCACTTGGAGAACCTCTACACTGAGGAATGTGATATTGGTATTTGGAGAACCTCTACACCTGGGGAATGTGATGGGTGTAAATTAGGAACTCCTACATATGATAAATGTGATGCTGGTATACGATGAACCCCTACACCAGGAGTACTTTGCTGCATGTTTGGACTTGGCTACACTGTGGTGTGTGACTAGAAGTGCTAGATCACATACAGCAAACCTTTCATCAGAGCTTTCCAGCACAACACATCAACATACAATACACAGCCAGAGTTCTGATTTACAGTATATTCTTTTAAAAAAAGACCATTTCCCTAGGAGTCTATGATGGAGTGATTGAGGATGCAACCCATGGAGAAGCACCCACTATATAAGAATTAAGTCAGTGGGGGGATTGGGGATACAGTCCATGGAGGAGCCCCCACTATATGAATGGAGTCAGTGGAGGGTTTGGGGGGGGGTGCAGTCCATGAAGGAACCCCACTATATGAGTGAATGGAGTCAGTGCAGGGCTTGGGGGGGTGCAGTGCATAGAATAGCCCCCACTCTATAAATGGAGTCAGAAGGGTGATTGGGAGTGCAGTTCATACAGGAGCCCCCATTTTATGAATGCAGTTAGAAGGGTGATTGGGGAGTGCAGGTCATGGAGGAGCACCAACTATATGAATGGATGGAGACAATGGGGGAATTGGGGGTGCAAACATGGAGAAGCCCCCACTACATGAATGGAGTCAGAAGGGTTATTGGGGGGGGGGGGGGGCAGGCCATGGAGGATCACCTATGTGAATTGTCAATAGGGGAATTGGGGGGTGCAGGTCACGGAGGAGCCCCCACTACATGAATGGAGTCAATGGGGGATTGTAGGGTGAAGAACATGGAGAAGCCCCCACTATATGAATGAATGGAGTCAATGGGGATTGGGGGTGCAGTCCATGGAGGAGCCCCCACTATATGATTGGGGTCAATAGGAGGATTAGGGGTGCAGTCCATGGAGGAGCCCCCACTATATGAATGGATGGAGGCAGAAGGGTGATTGGGGGGTGCAGGTCATGGAGGAGCCCCCACTATATGAATGGATGGAGGCAGAAGGGTGATTGGAGGGTGCAGGTCATGGAAGAGCCCCCACTATATGAATGGAGGCAGAAGGGTGATTGGAGGGTGCAGGTCATGAAGGAGCCCCCACTATATAGATAAATAGAGTCAATGGGGGGATTTGGGGTGCATTTCATAGAAGAGACCACACCATATGAATAAATGCAGTCAATGGAGGTATTGTGGGTACAGAACATAGAGAAGCCCCAACTATATGAATGAAGTGATTATTCACAAAACAAAATGGGGGGGGAGGGCAGCTGTCAGATCTCACCAATGAACTTGAAGAGAGCCATGGTGGATCCAGCGTGGCTGTATTTCTCTCCAATCCCATCATGCCCTGCAACATCCTATATATTGGCACACTCACCTAGTGGGTGTACTAAGATGGCGTGACACACGGAACCTATGGGTGTACCAAGATGGTGGTACTATTTTAACTAGCATAAAAAAATTTGCAAATTAAAACCAAATAAGTTCCGTGCATAAATTGCGTAATCTTACTTCGTCGGCAGTTTCCTTTAAAGGGGTGTTAGTAGTTTCTCATTCTCCAAATTAATAATCACTCATAATACAAAGCAGTAAAAACTTTGAAAGGTCAAATTTGGTCTACGAAACAATGGCCGCCGCCTCACCCTTCTAGACATAGTCTATCAGTGCTTTACTTCCGGTAACCTAGGGGTTAGCATCCAGCCAATCACTGAAGAGGTCGAGATGGGTTTGAAATGACTCCATGTCGGAAGCCATTTACTGTAGTGGAATGTCCTTGAATTTTACAGAGCGAGGTCTCCGGAAAAATGGCTGACACCCGATGCACACTGACTAGAGCGCTAAAGACATATAGGATTTCGCGATGGGTTTGGAGGATCACGTGTCAGCAGTAGGCCAATAGAAACAGAGGACGTTCTGAACTCGGCTCAGGAGCTCTGGTGGGACTGGGGGCAAGATGGCGGCGTACCTGAGCCACAAGCAGAAGGTGCTGCGCCTGTATAAGAAGGCGGTGCGGCACGTGGAGTCGTGGGTGGTACACAGGTAATGGTGGAGGAGGAGAGGGGCCTTCTGGGTGCTTTGGAGGGGGGGGGGGTCTGTGCGGGGAGGACATTCAATGACAGGTGGGGGAGGGGATGACTTGTATTGATCAGGTAAAGAGGGCCTGTCAGTGACTGAACCAATCCCTGACATGTCCTAGTGTACACTGACAGTCTCATATTTCAGAAAGCTCCACCTCTTCTCATCAGAAAGCCCTCCCTGAGCTCCATCAGTGACTTGGCCTAGGCTGAGATGATGTCATTATGCTGCAGGCAGGTGGGGGTGTCCTCAGTCTCCCCTCCCCCACTGATCAGACTGTACATTGTTACAAGGTGAGAGGGTGCAGCAAGGGGCTGATCTGTGTCATACATTGGGGAGCACAGCCTAGAACAGCACAAGCTCCAGGATTTACGTGGCAAGTAGATGATTCCGGAACAAAGATGGCACTGCTGTCTTGGAGCAGGATGACCTGAGTGCTTCCTATTGGCTATCCAGCAACGGCTTCTGCCCAGGAGTGACTGGCTAGCAAGGGAACATCTGCAGCACAGGATTGGACGCCAGAAATGGAGGACCAGGCTGGTTATATCTCGCTTCACAAGGGTGGAGAAACATATCCCGTGTGGGATGGCTCTACAGCTGAGCTCCAGGCAAATGGCTGGGAACGCCTGACCTGTAGGGGGAGCTTTTACATGCTTAACCCATGTACTGCCAGTGATGTATGTATTGCAATAGCGGGGGCTTACACACACGCTGGAGGCTGCAGCCACTGGGACTGTGTGCAAATCTGACAAGCCAGCTGTCAGATGGAGGCCATCTCGCAGTTCTGAGTCTGCCATGACCCTATATCTTGGGCACTGCGAGCCTATCCATGCATCCAGGACCGGCATGGCAGGTGTCGCTGCACAGAGGCGATGGAGATCAGCAAATGTCTGTTCACTGATCTCCATTCACTGTTACAGCCCCGTACGTGATGCTTTAAATGTCACTTCTGGGTCCTGGTGTCACTTTCTTCAGCCAGGGAAGAAACAAATGGGAGTGTGATCTGTGCTCTGTTAGCTTCATTGGAAGACAGACGAGACATCAGGGGTCTTTTATACCCCAATGTCTTCCCATCCCCTTCCTGCTGATATATCTGGCCTCACAGAAGTGGCTCTTTATCCATGGGGCCCCATGTATGTGTAACTGTCTTTGTGCTGGGAGCGCACTGTACAGCATATTCCCAGCACAGAGACCAATCTCTCACCGAGAGCCCCGAGCCTCATACTGGCCGGTCACCTGATGACTGTGAAAGCCTCCTATTGGCTGTCACTGTGCAACCCACCCCTTTGTTTTCTTTCTCCTCTGAATGGAGAGAAAGCTTTATTGTATTCTTATAAACATTGTGTCTACCTCCCCTTACAGGGGAAAAAGATGTAAATAAAAGTGTGTGTGTGTAAAAAAAAAAAAAAAAAAAAAAAATCATGGTTTGATCTAGGTCAGGGTTCATGTGAAGCCTGGTACACATGATCAGAAAATCGGGTGACAGATACTGCTTTTGAGGCGATCGTACGATAATCTGTTCGTTGGTACACAGCTTTCATCCAAAATGATTCAAAGGGACAAATACAAATTTTTTTTTTTTCATACATACCAGATCGTACGAGTTTTGTTTAAACAGTACAGTATTTGTCTGAAACAAATCGGAAGAGCAAGACCATTAGTGCTCAGAAATGAAAGAAATACATTACGATACAATACACCTAGGGATGCACTGATATCTCCTAGATTGTAAGCTCCCAGGATCAGGCCCCTCCTATCCCTCTTGTATTGAACTGTATTGTTGCTGTATTGTCTCCCGTTATATTGTAAAGTGCTGAGCAAACTGTTGGCGCTATATAAATCTTGTATAATAATAAATCCTGTATAAATATATAAATCCTGTATAATAATAATATATAATCCTGTCTATTATAATAATATATAAATCCTGTATAATATATAAATCCTGTATAATAATAATAAATATATAAATCCTGTATAATAATAATAAATCCTGTATAAATATATAAATCCTGTATAATAATATATAAATCCTGTATAATAATAATATATAAATCCTGTATAATAATAATAAATCCTGTATAATAATAATAATATATAAATCCTGTATAATAATAATAATATATAAATCCTGTATAATATATAAATCCTGTATAATAATATAAATCCTGTATAATCCTGTATAATAATATATAAATCCTGTATAATAATAATAATATATAAATCCTGTATAATAATATATAAATCCTGTATAATAAATATATATAAATCCTGTATAATAATAATATATAAATCCTGTATAATATTGGCTGTCAAAAATGATTGACCGACAATGGGGTTATCAGCATTTTGCCGATAGAAAAAAGGTGCCGATAAAGGCATGCTGCATTCCATAGACTTCAATGCAAAACCGTGCCCCATAGACTTCAATGCAAAAACGCCCCCTAGTGACTTCAGTGCACAATTGCGTCCTATAGACAGATCCAAAATTGTGTCCCATAGACTGTGAAGCAAAATTGCTAGCCATATTAAATAAATGGATTCTGAATTTTCGGTTTTGGCACCGGAATGTTCATTTCGGTGCACCACTAATTGCAACACATTACATCGCTTCTGAAGTTGTATTCTGTTGCATGAATATTTTTGTACATAATATACTTTTTGTAACCACTGGGTGGCGCCATGGATACATAAATTATAGCTTGTGCCACATCCTACTAGCTGGAGCAGAACAGGAGAAGAGACCACGTGGCTTTGTAGGCACGAGCCCGACACAATTGTTAGTTAAAACGTAATCGTTTATTTTAGCCATAATCGTAAAATGCAATATATATCACACAATAAAAGACACTTCCAGAAATATCGCTGATGAAGCATATTAACCCCTTCATGCCGGCACCTTCCGGCCCTTTAAGGTGTTTCTGATGCCGGGGGGGGAGGTTTAGGGTCTTGTGACCACCGTGATTGGCTGTCATGGCAGTCAAATGATTGGAAAGGTCCCGAACGCAAGGAGAGATCAGGATCTTTCCATGGTACGCCGACACATGTGCTGGGTGCGCGCTGTCAGCACGTTTGTTTGCAAGGCCCAGCCTCCGAGAGGCCACATAGGCTGAGAGCTGCTCTCCAAGACTTAGACTGGGAGGGAATATTGGCATTGATGAACACAACACAGAAATGGGAGTTCTTCAGAGACTGTATGTGAACACACTGCAAAATATAATCCCACGGGCAACAAGTTTAAAAGGCTAAAAATCAAACCTATGTGGCTTACGGTCAAAGTTAAGAAAGCTATAGATAATAAGAAAAGAGCTTTTATTAAATATAAAAATGAAGGAATGATATCATCGTTTAAAGATTACAAAGAATATAACAGAATATGCAAAAACGAACGACAGATTGCAAATCTATCAATAGTAAAAAGGTTCGGTTCCGAGCATGTAGGCCCTTTACAGAATAATCTAGAGTGGGTGATTGGGGACAAAGAGAAGGCATATTTATTAAATACCTTCTTCAGCTCTGTGTATACAAAGGAGCATGGGGGAGCTCTTGTCCATAATGGGCATGGTATTGACGCAGCTCCAGATGATCCACATTGGCTCACAATTGATATGACTGAAAAATATTTAGACAGAATAAAGGTGAATAAAGCCCTGGACCGGATGGCATACACCGCCGGGGTTTTTATTTTTTGCTAAACTAACAAAAAAAAGACCAAAATTTTGAAAAAAAAAACACTTTTTCCTTTGTTTCTGTTATAAAAGTTTACAAATAAATAATTGTTCTTCATAAATTTAGGCCGAGATGTATTCTGCTACATGTCTTTGGTGAAAATAACCCAAATTAGGATGTATTTTTTTAGTTTGTAGGAAAGTTATAGAGTTCACAAACTATGGTATAGATCTGAATATTGATCAATCCTGAAGTACTGACAGCCAATCTAATTTCTTGAGGTCCAAGAATGTCAGAACAGTACAGATATCCCCCAAATGACCCCTTTTTGCAGAGTAGACAGTCCGACGTACTTCATAAGAGGCATGGCGAGTTTTTTGAAGTTGTATTTTTTTGTCATTTTTCGGAAAATGAAAAAATTAAAAAAATTATTTTCACTATTTTTTTTTTTTTTTTACATACTGTCACCAGTGCAGTACAGCGTCATCATATTACTGGCATGGCGGTGATCAGGGACACTGACTGGTGACAGTATGAAAAAAAATATATATATATTTTTTTTTAATTTTGTTTTTTTTTTATATTTAATTTTTTATTACCTTTTTTTTTTTTTTTTTTAAGATTGTTTTTTCATAGTTTACTATGACCAAAGTAGTACAATGTTACCATAGTAACATTGTACTACTTTGGGGAAGTGATCAGTATTTTTTTTTTTTTTTTTACACAATTTGCTTATAGCAAAGAATTACTTTGCTATAAGCAAGCATTTAGCTGAATGAAATCGATTCATTCAGCTTTTTTTTTTTTTGTGCTTAGCTGTGATTTGGTCATAGCTAATCACATGACATGTGCATGTGATTAGCTGTGACCATTCACAGCTAGGCACTAGTATACAATGGATGGCATCATGAATGAAGCCATCCATTGTATACAACTGTCATGTGACCTGCTGTGATTGGTCACAGCAGGTCACATGGTTCCAGCAACGGGAGCCGGTACTCGGATCTGTCTTCGGCCGTGTCCGAGGTGCACGGCCGGTGACAGATCGCGCTGCTGCGGCGCTCTGCATTAGTGCAAACTGCGCATGTGCGGGAGCATGCCAAATGGCGTGCACCCGGAATACAGCAGCACATTTGAAGCCGCCAAACGGCCATTGGCCGGGCGGCTAATGGTTAAAGAATTGAGCTCTGTCATTGCAAAGCCAGTGTTTCTAATTTTTAGGGACTCTTTAATGACTGGCATAGTACACTGGATTGGTGTAAGGCCAATCCTTGGACCCATTGTCAGACCCTACGCTGGTGCAGTGGGTCCTGGGTTCCTCCTGGTGCATGACAATGCCCGGCCTCATGTGGTGAGAGTATGCAGGCAGATCCTGGAGGATGAAGAAATTGCTACCATTGAATGGCCCCCACGCTCGCCTGACCTAAATCCAATAGAACACATCTGGGATATCATGTTTCAGTCCATCCAACGCTGCCAGGTTGCACCTCAGACTGTCCAGGAGCTCAGTGATTCCCTGGTCTAGATCTGGGAGGAAATCCCCCAGGACACCATCCGTTGTCTCATTAGGAGCCTCCCCCGACGTCAGGCATGCATACAACACGTGGAGGTCATACAAAGTACTAAGGACCATTTTGAGTTGCTGCAATGACATTTCAGCAAAATGGACTAGCCTGTTGCATCATTTTTTCACTTTGATTTTCAGGGTGTCTTTGAATTCAGTCCTCTGTATGTTGATAATTTTCATTTCCATCAAATGATGGGGCATCCTTACGTTCCTAACACACTACCCCGTCCATATCAGTATAGAGATCCAGCAGGAGATTTTTCCCCATTGAGATCTGATGTGTTTTCAAAGTGTTCCTTTAATTTTTTTGAGCCGTGTATGTTGTCTCTTCTGTTCTGAATATTTTCATAACTTTAGTAACCTTCACTTTTGATATGAGACTAGCATGCAAAAAGAAAACAAAATGGATGATCATTTCTCAGATATTCTCATCATGTGTACTAGGCTCAAGGTTGGGGGCAAAGGTCATGGTCAGTATATTTTAGTTAGTATAAAAAAAACCTCAAAATTCACACAATTTTTTTTCTGGGCTTTACTACGTGTACAAACGCCTAACGTACACATATGTGGTGTCGCTGCAATTGTCAGGAGCAGAACTTATTTTGGGTTGTGTGGTAGGTTATGGTAAAGGCAAGAAGTATACAGTATCTCCCAGAAGTGAGTCCACCCCTCACATTTTTGTAAATATTTTATTGTATCTTTTCCTGTGACAACACTGAAGAAATGACACTTTGCTACAATGTGACGTAGTCAGTGTACAGCTTGTATAACATGTAAATCTGCTGTCCCTCAAAATAACTCAACACACAGCCATTAATGTCTAAACCGCTGGCAACAAAAGTGAGTCCACCCCTAAGTGACCAGGTCCAAATTGGGCCCAATTAGCCATTAGTCATGTGACTTGTTAGTGGTACACAAGAGTTGGCAGCATGGTGCCGGCAGTCCCCCTCCTCCTGTGGTACCAGGGATCTTCCGCTCTTACCAGAGCCTGGGAACACAACCACCGGCTAATGTAAGGAGAGCGCTGTGAAACCGAGGTAGGTCATGAGTTTGGAGGTAACCTAGAAACATGTAAAAAAAAAAAAAAAAAAAAAAAAAAAAGGTTGAGCCTAAGCATATGCATTCCTACCGACCCCACCCAAAAAAAATTTGCACCCACCCCACTCCCACATACAAACACTTAGTAATGTAAACTTGCCCGCTGGGTACACCTTTGTATGAAAGCATCACTTGTACTACACATGTTACATGTAGCTGCACACCCCAAAGTGAGAGCAATAATTCTTGTGCACATATTCACAGTTAACTCTGAACTGATGACCTGTAGGGGCTTTTAAAGGGTCTTCTATAGAAAATATAGGAAGGCTAAGTCTGTTGTTTTGAGGGCACATGCAGTTTTAGGCTCCACATACACGGGACACTTCTGAACGATGGAAACTGACAGCTGGAAAACGTAGGTTAAAAAAACGGCTGTTTAGTTAGCTGCGTTTGCATAATGCATTTATGTGTGTTTGCGTTTAGAAGCATTTTTTTTAAAGATAAGCACAGGAGAACCTCCCAAATGCCCAGAATGCACTGAAAAGTGGTAAATTAACTATTTCAGACTGTTTCAGAGAAATACAGAGAGTAGAAGCAGAGACAGCAGTATGTGTTGAGATTAGCTTAGGTGTGAGTTGCTCGTTAACATTTCTTTTGTTTTCAAGGGTGGGAAAGGTGTCTGGTGGAGGGAGCCATTAAGGTCACCTGGCAGGGGGTCTTCAAGAGGAATTTGAGGTGTGAATGGTCATTTAACATATCTTTTGTTTCCAAGGGTGGGAGAGGTCTGAGGTGTGAATTGGTCATTACAATGTGTGACCAGCTTGGTAGGAACATCCTGTGTTCAGTGTTTTGTCCATCTAACACTTTGCATGCATTTTTCATGATGAAAAAAGGCTCTGGACAGCCTTGGGAACTGGAAGAGTTAAAAAAAAATTTTTAAACGCTTATTAATGCGATTTGCCGCGTTTACAAGCGTTTTTGCATTTGCAATGCTGGCAAAATCGACTGCTGAACGCAAGTTTTCTGCATTCAAAAAAACAACTGTTATCTCAAATGCCTGTACACGACTGTAAACGAAGATGTGTACATGGACACATAGGAAACATTAGGGAGAGTTCAGGGGCTGCTGAAAAACAGGCTGAACAGATCCTAAATGTGTGTTTATCAGCTGCAGTGTACATGAGCCCTTAAAGCTTGACGCGTTGGGTATACTGTATATTCACTCCGCACAACTTCATCTTTTATACTTTACCAAAAAATGGGTAATATTGTATTTCTGTTCCTTAACATCAACTGCCATTTTTTTTTTTTCCTGAAAATTTCCCCTTGACAAACTGTTATGCAAATGTCCTGTGACATAAAATTGTAACTACTGTCCTTTCATTCTCCAGGGTGTCTGGAGATTTGACTTTTTTTTTTTAATGTGTGCAGAAAAAAACACAAAAAAAGCTCTGGTGGCACAAGGGTTGATTTTGATAAATCTTCCCTTTTTTTTTTTTTTTTTAATTTTTTTTTTTTTTATTACTCTGTCATTGCTTAGAACGATGATCACTGTTCTAAGCAATAATTTTAGCTGCCATTAATGACAGCTTGATTACTGTGATCTGCGATTGACTACAGCTAATCACATGGTACAGTTAGCAAGGTACCATGTGATAGCTGTAGGCCAATCACAGCATCACAACAGTAATCAAGCGATCCTGAATGGAAAGCCATCCATGACAGTCTGCTGGTGATCGCTATGAGCGGTTATAGTAATCACATGATATCCTGGCCTCTCATAGCAGCCAGGCACCAAGTGCTGCAATTTGCTGTGTCCACTGGACCGTGACGCTGCTCGCACCAGGGGCAAGCTACTGCTCATGTGCCAGACGACATACCTGTGCTTTGCCTGGCTTGGCTCTGCCACCCGCCTGCAGTAAATCTACTGTGGATAGGCAGCCAGTGGTTGTTGTTTACTGGTGCAGACTAAAGTTCAAAGTCATACAGGTACGTCCACCCGCTCTGATAGGGACACATCTGCCTGTTCAGGTACAACTGCTGGATGTAAAGTTTTTAAAGGTTACAGCATCATGGAGCCTTCTGTGATCATAAATGAACAATACAGATCTCTTCCTGGTGTGTCTCCTGGTCAGTGAGGTGATTCTGACATTTTCTAAAGTGGGGAAAACTCTTCAATTCTTTTCTTTTTTTTTTCTCTTTTCATTGCAGAGACGAATGCCGCTACCAGGCCTGTATCCTGAGAGCGCGCTTCGATGAACATAAAGATGAAAAAGATTTAGTAAAAGCCACTTTGCTGCTGAAGGCCGGAGAGGAAGAATTCTACGTTCGAAAGCACCCCAAGCCATTCATCTTCCCAGACTCCCCAGGAGGGACCAGCTATGAGAGATACGACTGCTGGAAGGTCAGCAGCAGTTACTGTTTGACGGGGTTTGACCTCTGGATATACCGCCATATGCACATCCAGCAGTGAATCATGATGTTGGGGCCGGACCTCTAGTACAGATTATTTTGTTTTTCCTGAGAACATTCTTACTACACTTTTCAGTTTTTTTTTGCTGACGTTTAAGAATCCTGTAGTTACCAGCAGTGCAAAGACACAAAATTCCCCCCCCCCCCCCGTTGCCCGCAGTGCAGAGACGTGCCCCCCCCCCGTTGCCTTCAGTGCAGAGACGCCCGCCCCAAACCCCCCCCCCCCCCCCCCCCACGGTGGCTTCAGTGCGGAGAGGCCCCCCCACCCTCCCCCCTGTTGCCTTCAGTGCAGAGAGGCCGCCCGTTGCCTTCAGTGCAGAGGCGTGCCTCCCCGTTGCCTTTAGTGAAGATGCCCCCATTCCCCCCCCCGCCCATCTTCAGTGTAGAGACGCCCCCCCCCCCCCCCCCCCCTTGTTGCCTTCAGTGCAGAGATGTCACCCCATTGCTTTCAGTGTATAGACGCGCCCCCCCCCGTGCCGTTGCCTTCAGTGCAGAGACGTGCCCCCCCCCCCGTTGCCTTCAGTGCAGAGACGCCCGCCCCCCAAACCCCCCCCCCCCTCGGTGGCTTCAGTGCGGAGAGGCCCCCCCCACCCTCCCCCCTGTTGCCTTCAGTGCAGAGAGGCCGCCCGTTGCCTTCAGTGCAGAGGCGTGCCTCCCCGTTGCCTTTAGTGAAGATGCCCCCATTCCCCCCCCCGCCCATCTTCAGTGTAGAGACGCCCCCCCCCCCCCCCCCCCCCCTTGTTGCCTTCAGTGCAGAGATGTCACCCCATTGCTTTCAGTGTATAGACGCGCCCCCCCGTTGCCTTCAGTGCAGAGACGTGCCCCCCCCGTTGCCTTCAGTGCAGACGCCTCCCCTATCCCCCCCCCTGCCAGTCTTCGGTGGAGTGATGCCCCCCCTCCCCCTTGTTGCCTTCAGTGCAGAGACGTCACACACCCCCATCCCCCGTTGCCTTCAGTGCAGAGACACCTCTATTTAAGTTTTTTTTCATTTTATATATATATATTTAATTTTATTTTCTGTCCAATTTTCCTGTGCTACTTTCAGTAAGTTATTTTGCATTACTTGATTGTATTTTTTATACATATTCATTTAAATTTATGATATTGATTATATATGTATGTATCTTTATTACTATTTTGAGTTTTCTTTTTTTGTTTTTTTTAAACTGTCCATTTCGGTTTTCAGTCAAGTGCATCCTGAAACTTTTGGTTTTGGTCCAGAATTTTAGTTTCGGTGCACCACTAATCTCAGCGTATGGTGCCCTGGCACACTCTGCTATATTTAGTGAATGGTAACAGCCATACCACAGTCTTACCACACATTTATAAAGCATGGTGGTGTGCTTCACAAATGTGCGCAAGGCTTCCTAAGCCAGCAGTGTGCAATAATAAATGAATAGTGGAGTAGAGCGTAACCTAGCGTAGTATAACTAGGGGCAGACCGCTAAACCACTCTGTTAGAACTCGGGTTCTGTGAGTTTTGCTTTAATGATGTTTATATTTCATTTTAATCCAGGTTCCTGAATGGGCCCTGGACTACTGGCACCCATCAGAAAAGGCCATGTACCCAGATTACTTTGCAAAGAGAGAGCAGTGGAAGAAACTTCGGGAGGAGAGTTGGGACAGAGAGGTCAGTGTCTGAGTGTCATTGAGAGCCCCAACCCTGCGAATGTATTAGTTGAAGTAATAAAGGAGTGCGCTAAATAAAATAAAAAATAAAACACAAAATAATGTCCATAATAATAAAGTCCAACCACCATTCAGAGTGATAATAAATAAATACAATGATCTTGTGTGAAAAAAAACTGTGCACGAATCCGCAATCTCACAGCCGACAGCTCCGAGGAACGTCCTGACGTCACATCCGTTAGGCCACGCCCTACACGTTTCGTCACACGTCTTCAAAGGGCGGGCTCCGCCCTTTGAAGACGTGTGACGAAACGTGTAGGGCGTGGCCTAACGGATGTGACGTCAGGACGTTCCTTGGAGCTGTCGGCTGTGAGATCGCGGTGTGCGAGGTCCGTCCCTGTCTTCCTTAGTGGATGTTTCAGATGCTGTTCATGCTGGTGTCGGTTGAGACACCATTTTTGTGAGTTTATATTGGCTATGTTAATAAAGTATTAATGGTTTTAAACGTGCTGCACCATTATATTTCGTCTGATTCCTCGAGCATTACCACTGTTTATGGAGAAAATGATCACCACTTGCTATAAGGCTGTTCCATTTGTGCTGATTGGCTGATTGCAGTTTATTGCTCCCATACTCCGGATATCCCTGCAGATCATCGCTCACAGAGCAATTGCTATTACGCTGATTTATAATTTGATCAGCATATAGCTCTGGTGAGCGTATTCATTTCATTCGGTGGTGGATTCCTGCACAGGTTTTTTTTCACACAAGATCGTTGTATTTATTTGTTATCACTCTGAATGGTGGTTGAACTTTTATTTTGTGTTTATTTTTTATTTTATTTAGCGCACTCCTTTATTACTTTAATATTTACCTTTTTTTTGGTTAGGATTGCAGCTTTGTGTTTGCTTTATTGGCGCTTCTTTTTTTATTATTTTTTCATTTTTGAATGTACTAGTTGGTATCCAAAACGCGCAAGTTATTGCCATGACATATTTGTTGCTATTGTCATGAAGCCAACCTAGCGCAAGGCAGTCTTTGTAGCATCTCATTGTATAAATGACTGAACAGATTAGTACAACCAACCAACGTCCCTGCCTTAAAGCCAGGCTGTCAGATACAGCAATCAGGAGCCAATGGTTCCCAGTCATGTGATCACAGTAAGACCATAGTGATCACATGATGTTTACAAACTAGCTGACACTGGATGCTGTACTGGCATTGTGCTTGCAACAGAGGCACTTTAACAGAAGCAGTTGGCAGGCGACATCTAGTAAGTATTAAACCCTCCTTTCTTTAGCTTGAGGCCTCATGCACACTGGATGTGTTTCCAGCTGCTTCTAGGGGCGTCTGACATTTTTATTTATTTCTATTTTTTCTAATTTGTTTTTTTTTTTTGTTTTTTTTTCTGCCTCTAAACCACCCTGCATGTTAGCCTGTTTGTCCATGCACACAAGGGCTTTTAAAGGAGTTTGGAGGCAGGAAAAAAAAAAAAAACACTGGCAGTGCATCCAGGAGCAGTGGCATTTTGGCAGAAAAAAACACTTGACATCTGTATATGCAGCTAAATGTGCAAATTATTATTCTGGCCAGTGAAATGAATTTACACAATTACATAGTTAGGCTGGCTGAAAAAAAAAAAATCCTTAGCTGATGATGGGATGAAGTTCCGGCTCTGCACTCTGCTCAGACTCCACTCCCACGTTCATGAACATGTAAAATATAAAGCCTCATAGTGCAGCATATTCTACATAGTTACATAGTCTGGCTGAAAAAAGACAAAAGTCCATCCAGGTCAACCATAGAAAAAAAAGTTATAATCCTACACCCACAGTTGATCCAGAGGAAGGAAAAAAACCCAGCAAAGCATAATCCAATTTGCTCCTACAGGGAAAAAAATTCCTTCCTGATCCCCCGAGAGACAATCGGATATTCCCTGGATCAACTTTACCTATAAATGTTATATTCGGTGTATCCAAGGAACAGTCCAGGACTTTTTTAAAGCCATCCACCAAGCTGGCCAGAACCAACTCTTGAGGGATTCTATTCCACATTTTCACAGCTCTTACTGTGAAGAAACCTTTCCGTGTTTGGAGATTACATTCCTCCAGATGTAAAGAGTGCCCCCTTGTCCTCTGTGATGACCTCAGGGTGAATTAATGCCCAAACACTTGACGCGCCTAAACGTGTTACACCCTTTTACAAGCACCAAGTGTTTTTTCTGCCAAAATGCTGCTGCTGAGAGGAAAGACTTTTGAGGAGAGATAGCAAAATGTACAGTGTACATGAAACCACACACACTGAGCACAATAAAATAAACATTCCCCAGTAAACTATTTTGTTAAAATTCTTCCCCCAGCATTTGCAGTTTACAACTTTCAGCGCTGCTGGCTCCTTCTGTCTGTGCTGCTTCCCTGAACTTCCGGTCTTTACAGGAAAGAGTTAAGTGGACAGTGCAGTCTCTAGCTTGGTCTGTGCATTTAGACATCAATGACCCCGGTCACAAGAGGGTAAACAAGCTGCCAGCTGGCTCTCAACACATTTATGAAGTGGCACTAAAGCTTTTTGAAAGTGTGCTGGAAGCTAAACGTTGTGTATTCAAAGCTTTATCACCTGCCATTTAGGCCTCATGCACACATTTGCTCAGCTAAGCTGAATGCCTTTTACTCTTGGCTGGAATAGGCTGCTTAAAAAAAACCCCACGCCTAAAGCCACATATTTGCACTTAGGTGCATTAAGGCACATCAAGCGCTGAGCATTTGATTTCCATTGGCCAGCATATTCATTTATTCTGCCCATTGGAATGAATGCTCAAGCGTTAAACGGGTCTATTGTTTAAATGGTTTCCTGGTTGTGGGAGTCTGCAGGCTGCAGACTTATTGGAATCTGGAAACCCCCTTTAACAAGGGGGGGCCCCCAGATCCTGGCAACCCCCCCATGTGAATGAGTATGGGGTACATAGTACATTGGTTGTGACCTCATCAGCCCGCCTCTCTGACTCTGCCAATCCGAGGAAGCTTTGCATTGATTGATCGAATACATCGCTTATTCTGAATGGCTGAGCGCCGCTGTGATACTCTTGTGTTCTGGGTAGTCTTGGCTCGCACCCGGAACACAGTGCGGTATGCTGTATGTACGGTAGCCACAGCTACGTTAAGTTTATACTGCACATCCAGTGGCCTCACAGGTTATTGAGGGACATACCGTATTTTTCGCTCCATAAGACGCACTTTTTTCCCCCCAAAAAAGGGGGAGAAATGTCAGTGCGTCTTATGGAGCGGCCGGTCCGGTATTTCCACCGCCGCCGTGTCAGAATACCGGGCTGGCCGCTCAGCTCTGCAGCGGGACCTTATGGAGATGACTGCTGACCTTTGGGGAGGGGGGGGGAGCGGGTACCTGAATTTGACAGGTACCCGCTCTTACTTCCGCGGAGTTGTTCTTTCCTGTTCCTCTATCCAGCGGCGCGCTGTCTTCCCGGCTTCTGTAGTGTGGGCGCTGGGCTTGACAGCCGGGTGCCAAGTGTGCATGCGCAAGAAGCGGTGCTTTTTGTGAATGGTAAGGCGGTACCTGGGACACATGACAGATCCCAGAAGCCGCCGGACCAATCACAAAGCGCAAGCGCTTCTCGCTCATGCGCACTGGGCACCCGGCTGTCATGCCGAGCGCCGACACTACAGAAGCCGGGAAGACAGCGCGCCGCTGGATAGAGGAACAGGTAAGATCAAAGAACAACTCTGCGGAAGTAAGAGCGGGTACCTGTCAAATTCAGGTACCCGCTCCCCCCCCCCCCCCCCCCCCCTCCCCAAAGGTCAGCAGTCTTCTCCTGTACTGTCCGCAGTCTCTGGTCATCCCTGTGCTGTCCGCAGTCTCTGGTCATCCCTGTGCTGTCCGCAGTCTCTGGTCATCCCTGTGCTGTCCGCAGTCTCTGTGTGCTGTCCGCAGTCTCTGGTCATCCCTGTGCTGTCCGCAGTCTCTGGTCATCCCTGTGCTGTCCGCAGTCTCTGGTCATCCCTGTGCTGTCCGCAGTCTCTGGTCATCCCTGTGCTGTCTGGTCATCCCTGTGCTGTCCGCAGTCTCTGGTCATCCCTGTGCTGTCCGCAGTCTCTGGTCATCCCCTGTGCTGTCCGCAGTCTCTGGTCATCCCTGTGCTGTCCGCAGTCTCTGGTCATCCCTGTGCTGTCCGCAGTCTCTGGTCATCCCTGTGCTGTCCGCAGTCTCTGGTCATCCCTGTACTATGTTCGCAGTCTCTGGTCATCCCTGTACTATGTTCGCAGTCTCTGGTCATCCCTGTACTATGTTCGCAGTCTCTGGTCATCCCTGTACTATGTCGCATCCTGGTCATCCCTGTACTGTCCGCAGTCTCTGGTCATCCCTGTACTATGTTCGCAGTCTCTGGTCTCCCTGTACTATGTTCGCAGTCTCTGGTCATCCCTGTACTATGTTCGCAGTCTCTGGTCATCCCTGTACTATGTTCGCAGTCTCTGGTCATCCCTGTACTATGTCGCAGTCTCTGGTCATCCCTGTGCTGTCCGCAGTCTCTGGTCACCTCCTGTACTATGTCTGCAGTCCGTTAGTTCAGAATTTTTTTTTCCTGTTTTCTGCCTCTAAAACCTAGGTGCGTCTTATGGTCAGGTGCGTCTTATGGAGCGAAAAATACGGTAGTTTGTTTGGGCCAAGCTGTCCCAAATTAACTATGTAAAGTATATCAAAAAGTGGAGATCAGTTTTAAGCCCAGTGTTCATGAGTCCTTGATCTTACCATGGTTATCATGAGGGACTAGGTACTCTTTCAATATCAAATAAAAATCATTGGTAACACATCTCTTTCTACTCTCAGCATAGCCTAGTATCGGCTTTTGTCCTCATTCTAGTCAGTGCCCTGGATTAAGCCATTTGTTATGGATCAGAATGTATTGCTTTGTATTCCCTCAGGTTAAGCAGCTGATGGAGGAGACCCCAGCTGATGGACCACGCACTGAAGCTCTGCCACCAGCCCGTAAGGAGGGGGATCTTCCTCCACTCTGGTGGGGCTATGTAACCCGACCCCGCAATTATAGGGATTAAAGAGCCAGCTGGACATTGTACCTGTCTGACACCAGGGATTTAATAAACGTTTGTCAGCTCTAAACGTCTGCAATGTTCTATTTTTGCAGCATGTAATTTATGTTTCATTTTCACTTGAACCACCGTTCTTCAATAAACAACTTGAATCCTAAGGAAATATTGTCCCATTTATTTATTTCAGGTACTTGTATAGCCCCATCCAATTTAGGCAGCGCTTTACATATACAGTTTGTGTGTGTGTGTGTGTGTGTGTGTGTGTGTGTGTGTATGTGTGTAAGTATTTTACCAAAACATATATCATATATATATATAATTATATAATGGATATGTGCTGAAAGTGCAAAACTCTCAGGTTTAATTTAAGGGTATGTACAGTACCAAATTTTAATTTGGGGTAGTAATCCAAATTGAAGTTTAGGAATTACTGCTCTTAAGAAGATTAGCCTTCCCCCCCCCCTTTTTTTTTTTTTTTTTTCAAGGGACCATAAGAAACTGGACAATTGAATCAAAAGCTGTTTCATGGCCAGGTGTGGGCTACTCTTTCTTCATTATTTCTTCATCAATTAAGCAGGTAAAAGGTCTGGAGTGGATTCTAAGTGTGGTATTTGCATTTGGAATCTATTTCTGTGAACCTACATCATGTGTTCAAAGGAGCTGTCCATGCAAGTGAAACAGGCCATTGTGAGGATTTGAAAACGAAACAAATCCATCAGAGAGGTAGTAGCAACATTAGGAGTGGCCAAATCAACAGTTTGGTACATTCTGAGGAAAGAAGAACACACACTGGTGAGCTCAGCAACATAAAAAGGCATGGACGTCCACGGAAGACAACAGTGGTGGATGATCGCAGGATCCTCTCTATGGTAAAGAAAAATCCATTCACAACATCCAGACAAGTGAAGGACACTCTCCAGGAGGTGGACGTATCATTGTCCAAGTCTACAATCAAGAGAAGACTTTACGAGAGCAAATACAGAGGGTTCACCACAAGGTGCAAGTCATTCATAAGCCTGAAGAATAGAAGAGCCAGATTAGATTTTGCCAAAGAACATCTATAAAAAAATAAAAAAGCCAGACCAGTTCTGGAAAAGCATTCTTTGGATGGATGAAACTAAGATTAATCTGTACCAGAATGACGGAGAAGGCTTGAGTGGAGAAAAGTGGAGAAGGCTTGGAACAGCTCCTAATCCAAAGCACACAACGTCATCTGTAAAACATGGTGGAGGCAGTGTGATGGCATCGGCATGCATGGCTTCCAGTGGCACTGGGTCATTGGTGTTTATTTGATGATGTGACAGAAGCAGCCGGATGAATTCTGCAGTGTTTAGAGATTTACTGTCAGCCCAGATTCAGCCAAAAGCAGCAAAGGTGATTGGACGGCGCTTCACAGTACAGATGGACAATGATACAAAACACACTGCAAAAGCAACCCAGGAACTTTTGAAAGAAAAGAAGTGGAATATTCTGCAATGGCCGAGTCAATCACCTGATCTCAACCCCATTGAGCATGTATTTCACTTGCTGAAGGCAAAACTAAAGGCAGAAAGACCCACAAACAAAGAACAACTGAAGACAGCTGCAGTTAGAGCCTGGCAAAGCATCAGAAAGGAGGAAACCCCGTCTTTGGTAATGTCCATGGGTTCCAGACTTCAGGCAGTCATTGCCAGTAAAGGATTCTCAACAAAATATTAAAAATGAACATTTTATTTATGACTATATTTATTTGTACAATTACTTTTGGTGTGTATATATATATTTGTACATTCACATAACCCTCAAGGGGCGTACAACCTAAGGTCTCTAACTCACATTCATACATATTAGGGCCAAGTTAGACAGGAGCCAATTAACCTACCAGCATTTCTTTGGAGGGTGGGAGGAAACTGGAGCACCTTCAGGAAACCCACACAGGCACAGAGAGAACATGCAAACTCCAGGCAGGTGGTGCCGTGGTTGAGATTTGAACCAACGACCCTGGTACTGCCAGGCGGAAGTGTTAACCATTTAGCCACTGTGCTGCCCTATTTCTTTTACTAAGTATTGGGCTTTAATTAAACCTGATTTTACAGTTGCATGAAAATGGTGCTGACATGAAGACACCACAAAATGTCAAAAACATAACCTGTCGCTGTAAAACAGTGGTTTGCTGAATTTGAGTAGTGAAGATCTGTCAGTAGGTGTGAGTGTGACATGTGCAGTACACACACAATGCCCTAAGAATTGTTCTGGACTATAGGCAGTGAATGTGCAAAGCAGGGATCTCATTCACTGTATTTATAAACTTTAATCACCATTAAGTTTCATTGGATAAGATGTAAGGTAAGTATGAACATCATAATTATTTTTTTTTTTTTTTTTTACTTAACCACTTCCAGACCGGACACTTTTACCCCCTTCCTGTCCAGGGCAATTTTCAGCTTTTAGTGCTATCACACTTTGAATGACAATTGCGCGGTCATGCAACACTGTACCCAAATGAATTTTTTTACCATTTTTTTGAGACAGATAAAGCTTTATTTTGGTGGTATTTATTCACCACTGGGATTTGTATTTTTATTTGCTATGTAAATGAAATGTCCAAAAATTTTGAAAAAAAGTCTTTTTTTTATAAAATTTTGCAAATAAATAATATTTCATCATAAATCTTGGCCAAAATTTATTCCGTTATCTTTTTAGTAAAAAAAAAATCCAAATTAGTTTATAAGCAAAAATTATAATTTTTAAACATTTTTTTTTTACATTTTTTTTATTTTTTTTTATTTTTTTACATACTGTCACCCTAGCAGTACAGTGTCACCATGGTGACACTGTACTACTTGTGGGGGGTGATTAAGATTTTTTTTTTTTTTTTTTACACTGATTGCTTTTACACCCATATAGGATGTAAAAGCAATCATTTCGCTTTCTCTCTGTGTGCATTCTTGCACTCATTGAGAAGTACTGAGTGAGCTGTGATTGGTCACAGCTTGTCACATGGTACAAGGCTTTTGTGAATATCCTTGTACCATGTGACCTCTGTGATCATTCACAGATTTCACACGTAGTAAGCAATGATGTCAGAAGTGACATCTTGCTTACTACTTTGCATGTGATCACTGATTGGCCAATCAGTGATCACATGATCGGGACCTTGTACAGAGGTCCCGTCCGACGATCGGTGTTTCACTGTGTCCGGAGGACACAGCGGGCACCGTATCACGGTGCTGCGCGCTCCCAGGGAGCGCGCACAAGCAGGGTGCGGGGAGGCCGTTTATAGACGGCCACCCGACCCTGCAGTGCCACCGTCCGGCTGTTTATATACAATGGCCGGACGGGAGGTGGTTAAAACAAACCCCCCCCCCCCATTGAATTATGAGAGTTGTGTATGTACAGAATCACATTTTGTTACTTTGCAGCCTGAAATGAAGACACGGTTTTTGTTTTATCTAGCTGTCTACTCAACGCAACTTATAACATGCAAGTGAAAGATATAACACCCAACATTTCCGAGGAAAAGAAAAAAAAAAATTCAAAAACAGACTCCGAGTTGGGAAAAAGATCACCCCCTTCCTAAAAACGACTTGTAAAGCTAATCACCTTCTCAATGGCACACAAAGCCCTTTGACTTTAAACTGATCAGCTGTGGTCACTTTGATTAGTTCAGCATGAAAAAAGTTTTGTTTTTTGTTTTTTTTTTGACCAGATTAAAAAATTTTTTAATGGATTTAAAGCATTCAAATTAAATTTGAATAAAAAATATAAAACTCATTTGAATTAATTGTGAAGAATAGCTGATTGTTAAGGAGTGGGGTGTGTACTACCAGCCACCGCGTCCTTAAAGCGGAGTTCCACTCATGCTGGCAAAAAAAAAAAAGCAGCAAACAGCTACAAAAACTAGCTCCTGACTTTTAAACAACAGCTATTTACCTGTCCCGTGGTGTGTCCCCCGCAGCCCATTTCACCAGCTGTCCTGTATTCCAGGAGGCCGGTATTTTCAGTGTGGGCACCCGGCTGTGCAGCTTGCGGCTTAACAGCCGGGTGCCCACTGCGCATGTGCGAGTAGCGCTGCGCTTCCTAATTGGTCCTGTAGTCTTCTGGGACCTGTCACGTGTCTCAAAAGACTACAGGGAGGGAGGACACCTTCCGTTTCCAATCGCCTAGGCAATTAGAGCGGAAGTGGGAGCGGGTACCTGTCAAATTCGGGTACCCTCCCCCCCAAAGGTGCCAATCCTTAATGGGGAGCAGTCCTTAAAGCGGAACTTCCCCTTTTGGGTGGAGCTCCGCTTTAAACCCTGCAAGGCAATGGCATGTGCAATGCATACTAGCACATTATGAAGTACTTGCCTTAGAACAAAGCCTTTCAGCAGGGTGCTATAACTGCTGACAGGGCTTCCATCTTTACCCGGCCTTCCTTCCGGGTTCGTGTGCTCCAGCCATCTGGCTGAGCCGCGATGATGTCACTACCACGCATGCGCGTGGGAGCTTCGACTGCGGTACAGATGACACAAAAAAATGTACAGAGCTGCAGATTGAAAAGAAAAAGTCATTTTAATAACATACAATCACAATCCGACATGTCGTAATTGTATAGGCTGTATTTTTTTTTTTTTTTTAAATTTGCTAAATTTTTTAAAGTGGAGTTACCCTTTAGCCCTGGTTCACACTGATGCGGGGCAGAATTCACAGTGTTTAATATGCAAATTCTGCACCGCATTAGAATTGCACCCCGTTCATGCGAACTGCTGCGGATGTGTATGTTAACAACACCCCGAAAATGGTCTGCAAAACGCGGTGTGATGTGCAGAATCGGATCGCATAGGTGTGAATACCCGTGTGATCCGATTCTAGTGCGGACCCAAAAAAGGGTCCTGCATCTTTTTGGTGTGGGGCGCGTGCGACTAGAGCCATACATAATGTATGACTCCAATCGCACTGCACACAAATTGCATGTGATTTGCACAGGAATGTGGTGCGGTGCCTGTGCGAATCACATGCGACATACCGCACCGCATATACAGTTG